AGAGAAAATTGGTAGATGAGCATTTTATAACAAGAGGTAAAGCTGATTATTGTAGTGTTGACGCTACTGCTCATTACAGTTACGATTGAGCGCAAAACGTTCACGTACCCCATTCCGATCAACAGGTAAGTAAGATTTATTATCTCAGTCTACGTAAAGTGCATTTATTTGGTATACAGTGCGCGAACAAATTAATTACGTTCTCGATGAGGACAAAATTATAGGAAAAGGTCCTAATGTACACTGAACATGGTATTCGACGGAATAAAGAAATTGAATAAAGGCGAAAAACATTTAAAAATAATGCGGGTGGTTCGATTAAAAATAATGTTAATTTGCGGTTATTATAAAAGTATCGAATTAAATTTTATGATACCTAGGCATACTAAATTTAAGTGTGATGGTAGTTTTGGATTGATTAAGAAACTATATCGCAAAACGACTGTAGATTGTGTGAATCATATTGTTGAGGTTTGAAAAGATCGAGCACAGCGGGATTAAACAAAGCTCAGTGCTATAAAAACGGCAAAGGCTTTTAATATTTAGATCTTAATTCTGTGTTGGGGATTTTCTTTAAAAAATTAAATGGTTTGCAAAATATCAGCATTTTTATTTGAGGCAGCTCATCCAGGAGTTGTCAAAGCTCAAATGGTTGCTAATGGTATTTTTACTGAGTTTAAATTTACCTCTATACAGTCCAATTCGCTTATAGTCCCTATCACAGGACACAGCAGAACCGATAAATAGTAGATATAATATATGAAAAATTACCTCCTTACAGTCACATCACGTAATGAAAATAAAAAACTAAAATGATTGGAGAACGCGCATTCTTTACACAGAATTAAAATGTCTATTACTATAGCCTCTCCAACCAAGAAAAGAAAGAGAACTCAAATCACTAATGCTTTATGGTATGAGATTTGCATTTACTTAAACGATAATATAACACGGCCACAAGTACTGACATTGCATCTTATTTCAACAATAAGTATAGTATTAATTATAATATAGATCGGTCTACAGTAAGCAAGATCTTGTCCACGAAGCATTGTTCCATCTCATGAAACTCATTAGATTTCAAGAACAGCTTTCCGAGACGTTGTTTAGACCAGATGAGTTAAAATTCTCCATTGCAAAATGCCAATACTTGAACTATTAGTGGATAAGTCTAAAGTTCAGTCAACACTCGACTCTTTTGTTAGAAAATAAGTTAATCTCTTTATGCATATCACTGTCAACATGTATGTTTTTATTATCTTATTAACAGGTTGTTGATTTGCTTTTTTTTTTATGACTTAAACTGAATAAAAAAATTTTCGAAGTCAGAGTTTACAAGAATGCTACCCTCCTTACAGTCACAGGTTTCAGGAGAACCAACAATGCGACTGTAGAGGGGGACGACTGTATATCCTGTTCAGATTTAGAAAGGGCTTGAAAGTCCAGCAAATTCTACTTTGGAACTATTACTATGGTAGAGGACAACCTACTGCCAACAAACATATAGCTTTTCATATTTGATAAAACTATATTCATATTTTTATGTGTATTTAGAAAAAGGTCTTATTTTTTCTAATAAAGCAGAATCTGTCTGAAACAGTAGTCTTTTGCAAGCTTCATTAAATTAATTGATAAAATCATAGCAAACAGAGTCAACTTATTTCAATTCAATTCAATAATTTTTATTTCTGTGAACTTATATCAAGTAAAATGTTCACGAATTTTTATTACAAAAAGTATCGCGGTAAGACTTTGTTGCCAGCTACGGATGTACCGCTAACATATTATTTACTTTATTTATTACCCAAAAAGAAGTCGACGATAGCGCAGAATTATGTGGCACAAACAAACGATGGGATGGACTAATCATAGGCAAGGAAAAACTGAATTGGAATTATCGGTGGGCAGATGGCAGGAGTAAAAATAATCAGTGATAAGTACAACTTACACGGATCAAAACCCGATCCATTTATTTGAATGATTCTTATGTTCGGACAGAAATTAGAAACAGATAACGGTATCATCAGACTAGATACATGTATCGAAGTGACGAATCAAACTGAATTTACAGCATATTATAAGGAATCTTTAAATCAATTTTTTCACTCGACCACACCAACTTCGCTTCCGATTATAGACTGTACCGCCTTGATTTTTATATTTCTGCCATTTAAAAGCATCAAACTTATCCTCTGGAACAACAAATAACAAGATAATTTCTTCCACTGGCGATCCATATAAAGCATCCAGTCCATCAACAACAATTTCAAGACCTGCCCATTTTATACCATGGTTGAGTGAAACGGTAATCTGCACAGCATAGTTAGGGGCGATTATTGCATCAACTGATGCAAAGTTTTTCACAATGGGTCTGGAGTAGTATCCATTTGCAATTTCACGAATATTATGTATTCATTTAAGTTGTGACACAGGCATTTCTAAATCAAACAATCTGATAGAGTCCTCATTATCCCTGTTCAGTATTTTGGCTTTAAACTTTCCTCCTTTCAATAGAGTGTTATGCACCATGTTCTCAAAGATCGTCCCTCGAAGAGATGAGAAGGAAGACTCACCTTCTGATGCTTTTATAAATTCACGAATATAGTCCTTCTTGGATAGAAACAAAAGATTCATTACTTCAGTTTCAATGTATTTTGATCCAAATTGAAGATATGGCTGCAGATAATCCCATGTATTGATGTGAATAAGTATATGGCTAATATGACTGGCATCTACTCCTATAGCACCGACCAAACTTTTCAAATAATCTAGATTGCAACGGCTGAGGGCAATATTGAGATCCACGTCTGCAAGCGCCACTTGCAACACACGCCGTGGTATCGCGCCCCAACGTTCCACTCGCTTCCACATATTCTCTAAAGCCATGTTCTGGTCATCTGTTGGTTGCATATAACAAGTGAGAAACGCTTTCTCCAATTCATCAGCTGTCCAGAGAGGCATAAACAGGAACGCGGCGCGCTCTTTGACAAATTCACCATAGAATTCACGGTTTGGAGATGTTATCAAAATTGTTTTCACATTAAGAAAGCCGATAATTTTCACCGGTTTGTGCGCGTCGACAATATACCAGACTTCCTGTCGGTCTTTCAACAAGAAAAGAACTCGTTCAAAAGAAAATTCATTGATCATGTAGGAATCACTGTCTAGTACCATTTTAACGTCACTACGAGAAGGGTGATAAATGACAGGAATGTGATGATTGGCAGCATAATGAAGTAGGAAAAAGCCAAATAATGACTTCCCAATTCCAGGTGTTCCGCAGATGGTAAATTTCGTAAGATCATTGGCAGCTCGCAATATGCTAGAATCCGTAACTGGAAGCGGCGGGTTACCTTCCACGTTATTCTCGGTTTTATTCGCATCCATGGCACCATTGTAGATACTTGCCGACTCTTGTACATTTTGCAATAGCGGAGCCAAAGACGAAGGTTTCAGTATGAACTGGAGTAAGTCACAGTAGCATTCTCGAACATACAATGTAGAGCCAATGTCCTTATCCCCGCCAATGTACACACCAGAGGGCATTTTTAGTAAATAATCGTCTATTTCTATGCTCGTCAATGCGTTCCAAAAAGCTTTAAATAATGGTACAATTTCGAGGCGTTGAGAAAGATCTATGGATTTGAGATAAATATTGTAAATGTTATAGACAGAGTTGAGAGAAAAAGCAGAATTAGAACAAACCAAAAAAGCAATACACCACACATCCAAACCACCTTACTCTATATCCCCAACGCCCGAGTCACAAAGTCGTTACCTTGGATTGGCAAGAGTGTTTTGAGTGCAGCGGCAATCTCCTTGTCTCCTCCTTCGAAATACTCTAAGCGTTCATTCAACGGCTTGTTCAAAAGAAGACCCTTTATTCTGCCGCGTTCCTCTTCGTCGGGGAAAAGAGTAGTTAGTTTAGTTTTGGCTTGCTCCCAGGTCATTTTTGTTAAAAGGTTGAAGAAAGATTTGGCTACGCGCGATGTGATTTCATATGAACGCCTTAATCAATGACGTATTAGGGAATTTTCTAGACCTTTTCACAATGTAACTATTGTTTCCTGTATTAGTGACCAATGATAATCAATGCGCAGAAATTCGCGTTTGTCTAATTGGATTGGATAGCTTACTCCAATTGCCCCAATTGCCTTACACTAAAATTATACTAATACGATATTTTGTACTGTAAGTTGGAACAACCTTTCGTATGTAACATCAAACAACTTATGGGAATTATTTCCTATACATATAAATCAGACGTTTAAATCCTATAAACACAAATTAATTCTATGTATTGTCCCTGCCGTAAATTCCAATTTTTAACATCCTGTATTTTTTTTTTCACCAACAATATCTCTCAATGATTGTTCAACCTGCTCGAGGATGTACCTCGGCACACCACCCGCTTTGTGGAAAAGTTTTTTAATTATATCTACCGGTGCAATCAGAAAAACATGTTTTTGACAGGCAATCAATTCCTCTAAATTCCATGGCTCCATATATAATTTCACAATAAAATGCTTATCAAAGTTTTTAAAATGAATTGTTCTGGTTCCATTTAGTGATAAGGCAACTACTGTTTTCGCCTGGACTATCCTGGGAGAGATGAGACCATCTGCTAGGTACCATGTTTCAGGACTATCAAGCTCACACAAGAATTCATCATATGTTCCACAGCTCAGTTCTGAATTCTTGAAGCAATACAAGAATTCACTTCTGAGAGCTCTAGCCACAAAGTTAATGGCATTAAGAATTGTCAATGGAGGTAATTGTTGAGGCAATATATATGTTTCCATGGTAAATTCCATACGAGTATGTAATGCATCATATTCTTCAATTTGATTCTCACATAGTAGTAACCTGTAACATGCCTATTGAAAAAAGAGGTTAAGAACATGTGTTAAAGAAAAAACAATGAGATAACAATGAGAAATCACTCACTTTTTTAAGCTGTATATAATGCCCTAATTTCTTCGCTTTATTTTGTAAAACATTACCATTAAAAGTGATTCCATCTTGAATTGCCATGAAGCTACAGCTTCTTCAATTTGAGGAAAATAACTCTTGCATTCTCGTTTCGAATTCTTCTGAAGTGAGTCATCCTCAAGTGCCAACCACCTGTCTTTTGCTTTCTAACAGTAGACTCCCCAATCCGTAGTCGTTTCTTCGGTTTCCGCGTTCTCATGTTATTATTATTATTCACGTAAGTAGCTGTTCAAGTTGACGGGCTTACTTTTTGTGATGGGCTGGCAATGCTTGCATACATTGTGAAAAGGTCTAGAAAGTTCCAATAATACGTAGAAATATATTCTAAAAAGAAATGTGCAATGCCTATAATAATAATGGATTGGTTCAGTCTCTATTCCGAATTATTACTTGGAAAACTTTTTATTCAAAACTATGTCGTTAGACTGTTAATGAACTTGAAATATTCTCAGAATATTTACGCACTCAAGTACATTCTCAAACAGCCAGCATCATCAAGTCTTTGTCAAAGAATGTGAGAGTTTGTTTCAAGGTCCCGATTGCATCCAGTTCCGTGATTCTCTGTTGTAGTCCGCACTGCGTTGATCATATCATTCTTCATTCCTTAGAACGAATTTATCTTGGGACACTATGGATGAGTCGGAGACTCGAAGCTCTGCTTCTTCCTTGGATAACTTGCGTAATAAACATAGACGAGTGGGAAAAGCTTCTTGTATTGCAAAAGACGAGAAACCGCAAAAATTATCTACATTCGTCTTATTGGTCGATTGGCAATTGTAAGTATTGTTCGTGAATTTTTTGACGTAGATCTTTGTCTTTATTATCGTTATTTGAAGTGACACTGATATAGAGAGCAAGCGTATGATGCTTTTACACAACGATGTGGAAGCTTTAGATCTTTATTGATGGTAGATTGAAAGATTGAGATCGATTATTCTGATTAGTTAATTAATGAAATCTTCGTTCATCGTTATATAGCATTATAGATATAAATCTTCGTTAATCTGAAATTATTCTGTTGAGTGAACTGGTTCCAGAAAAATACTTCGTTATAAGCAATCTTCGTTAAAGTGAAAGTTCGTTAAAAGTGAATTTCACTGTGCATTAGTTCGATGGAACAACTATCGTTCGTTGAGAAAGGTCATAATGTATAAGCGTTCGTACGAAGTTTATGTCCGCTAATGTGTTAATATAATTACTTGTATCAAAACTGGGTCTTTCCGTCGGCTTGTGACATAGAACATTTAATAACTTATTAACCAAAGTAAAGGCTAAGTGCCAATGTGTTAAGTGAAAGAGAGATATACTGCAACGTAAATACAGCAATTCCATAACAACGTTCACAAAATTCTGACCAGTTTTATTTCGATTATAGACAAATAATAAATATATTTCAAGCTCTGTCTAACCTCCGAGAGCTCGACCATTCAAACAGACGCTGAAGAAAAACAAGCATTCTAACATACAAATACATCAACCAGTTTCTACGCTTGCCTACCACCTCGACGTCTCTGTCAAAATACAACGATGCAAGCTCTTCTACGAACTCGCCATCATACCTTGGATTAACGCGTAATTGATTCAGATGGTTAGAGTACAAATAGGTAGCCAAATCATTCTCACGCGCCGACAACGAGAGTGTTGAACGAAGTGTATTAAACAAATCTGCATTCAATGTATTGAAATATCTGTTGATAAAAATCACAAAAATGAGTGGTGGCGGATAATTTAATTTTCATCATGATAATTAAAAATCTTCAAGCACGAATTACCTTATGATGTCGACCTCAATTTGTTGACGCTCTCCATTTTCATTAATAGTGAAACTATCCACATTTTCTGATTCGCTGTCATCAAGCCTTATATAACCATCTCGCTCATCTCCAATCCATCCACAAAGTATCTTACTCAACAAAGTGAACAGCCCACTCTCACCCTCATCGTCCTCAATCAATGGATCATAACGTGTAAGCAATCTTGATAGCAAGTGGTATCGACAAATGTCGGTAGTATTGATTCGTGTAGAGACAGTCTTGGAAGGAGAAGAATTCGCGGATAACGATACGCTCGGTTGTCGAGTGGGATCGAAATTGACCATTATATCATAGAGACCGGTCTTGTGTTGGAATATACGGTCGGTCGTGCCTTGATTAACAAGATGAGTGGGTTAGAAATGACCAAGAGAAAGAGACGAGAGTGGAGGTAGAGCCAGCTACTTACATGCAACATAACCACCCTCGAACGACTCGAGCATCGGAATATCGCTGACACCAATATTGAATAATGGTTTGGTTTTTGCAGGGCGTTTCGGTAACAATCGGTTTACGTTTGAAGGGATATTACCAACGAGACAAGTACAATATACTTAACCCGACGGGGGGAAAAAAGACAAAGACATTGGTCTCGGTACAACTAGTCAATTCACAAGCTGACTGACTCCCGTCATAAATCCTTACCGGCATAACACGCTTCTTCAACAGGAGGCTTTGTGAAGAAAAGAATCCGTTTTCCTAATAACACTGCTTTCCATAATAAGAATATCGTAGGTCCGCAACGGCGAACAAAGTCTGCAAAAACACGCACTGGATGCGAAGCCTACATTAATGTATTAAAGAACTTTAGTTTCTACCACATGCTTTCTAACTATTGATTAAATACTTATATTCACAATGTATAGCTATTTCTTTTACCATAAGTTTGATATCAGCATTACGTATAGGCTCGGCAAGGGCGGTAGTATCCGATCCATTAAGACGATTTCTTAATTCGAAATTCCCTCGAGTTCCCTCTTCCGCGATCACTCGACGCGTAGGTTCTTCGGAATCACTGTTCTCCTCTCGCTCATAATCGCTCAACGGCACCCCCCATTTTGAGTAAAAATGCATTAAGCTCGAGTAATCACCCGACTGTTTGACGCGCTTTCTAATATCAATTATAAAAAACCCCCCACAAAATTACGTCTTAACATCTCGTGGATTTCGGCCCAATTTCTCAATATTGGTGTAATCAAGTAGGCTTACCCGACTTCACTTTTTAGAAAATCAAGATGCCTCCATGGCTGTCCACATTGACCAGTCTCTGGTGTTGCAGAAACAACGATACCAACAGAGGCCATTCGTGCACCTCTGTCTATCGATTGGTCGAATAATGGAAGGTTTTTAAACGCTGCGAGGCCATTGTAATGGGGTCTCGCAAAATATCTACGAGTCATACAAGGAATAAGTATCTTTTCATAATGAACAAAGTCTTTCTTATAAATTCTATTTACATTACGTCCTGACTGATAGTGTGTAAGCCACTAGGCATGGCTTGAAATTCAACTCCTCGCAAGTCGAGCTCTATACAAAAATTGAATCCAATTCAGTCATGTCCGCGCAATTCCGCTAAAAATTTGTCTACCCTCATATTTTCCCGTACCAGCAACATTCTTCAATATTTTGGTCCGCGTGCGCACTTGCCTTCAGGAAATTGCCACTCTATAATATTTCCTTGTCTGACATCAAATCTCACAACAAATATTCCAACGACATTCTTGACAGATTCCTGGTCGCCAGATCCAGCCAGCGCAGAGGAGAATATATCATTACGTCTTGTTGTGTTTGTTTCCACTAGCGGGCTGTCCTTGGTACTATTCGGGAATTAGTGTTTAAAGAGCGGTCTTACATAAGTGTCTGAAATGTCTGTTTTATCGAAAACAGTTTTATATCTGAACGAAACGACATACAAGCTAGCTGTGGTAGTGGCGCCGAGAAAAATGTCTTCCTCGTCGAGGACCATGGTGTCTCTGGCGAAAGTATGTTTAAAAGGTCAAAAGGTTTGCAGCGCCAGTTTTTTTCAGAGGGGGTGACACCATATGTTTTATGGCATGACGACGAATTAAGCAAATAAATGCCTAATGTCCTCGAACTACACAGAAAGATTTATTAATTAAAATAAATTTCTATAAAAAGTATTGAGCAACCAAACAGTAAGATTGCTCTTTAAGTAAACATGGTAATCTTTATCCGCTACAAGACAATTAAAATACGAAAGATGAAACCCGCTTTACATAATTGATCGGTTCTCATTCTATCACTTCATAGTTGTTAGCACAACCCTCCATCATTGTCTTCTATGTAACTACTTCCATCTCCTGCCTTCTCAACGGTTGATCCAACGGGGAAACCCTGCCCGTTAGGGGATCGATCGTCAGAGCTGAATAACGGCGATCCTTCCTTGTCAGAGGTATAATATGACGACAAATAATCCTCTCCATCATTGCTTTTCTCATTCGGATAACCATTACTCGGATTATCATATTTCGGTGTTGGTGGCTGAATTGGTTTTGTTGTGGGTAATGGATTTGATTTCTTTACCCCACCAGGCACCACCAAACTTCTTGCGAGTTTTGCAATTTCATTATCTAGATAGCTTACGGTACGTATTTTCACCGTCTCTTCTAGTAAATCCTGATCACCTTGTTCGAACGCTGTAACGAGCGATCGCGCAATAGCTGCTTCTTCGGATTGAGCAAAATCATAGCTGGATTTAATGAATTAGTTAGTGTTATCGATGATTGTACTGGAAGTAACGGCAAAACGTAAAAAGAAATAATCAATTTTTTACTTTGAAAATCTCTGCAACCGTTTCTTTGCTTCTACATCGTCATTCATTGCCAGCAAGACGATAACAATACTCAAATACGTTCGAAATAGATGCGAAGGATATTTCATTCCCATTGCTACAGTACTCAGTCGCTGCAACATACTATCGGCTTGATTATATCTAATAAAAGCGATATCTCTTTAGCTGTATTCTACGATCGAGGATATTATCATATTGTAAATTGCAAACCTCTTATTCCTGACCATAACGGCTATTGTCTTTTTAAAAGTGTCGATTGCAAATTGTCCTCGATCTTCCGTTTCGTACAAAGTGCATGCGTCAGAATATATTTTAATGGCTTCGTCAACATTAATTGGTTCCAGAACTCTGTAGACAACCGAACGATAATTAGTCCTAATTTCAGATAATGATAAAAAAGGAGGAAGAGGAAAAAAGAAAAGAAACTCGGGACAAACCTTCCTCCTTTTTCTAGCATTTCTGCTGCTCGATCTGGGGTCATATGCGCTTGATAAAGATCGCTAGCTTTTCGGTATAGGTCGGCTGCTCGTTCTGGTTGTTTAAGTTGTATTGCGGCTAAATTTGCTGCTGATTCCATATTTTTGGCAGCCATGAATACTCTACAAAATACGTTAACATGTAAATGATTGCAAATGTATATAAATAACATTATGGAAAACGGCATAGGTAAGGTGACATACGAGTCTGACTTGAACATCGCATCTGAAGCTTTCAAGTACGCTTGGATTGCTTGTTCATGAGCACAAGCTCCCTTGAAACAATTAGCTAAATGTTACAAGATCACCGGTATTAGATGCTTGCATTCAAGAAGAGAACATTTCCAACACTTCGAACAATGCCGTACCAGCCCTTTCATAATGTGATCCAGCAACATCCCATTCAGGCTTCTTGAAGAACCCTTTCTGAATCCTTTATTATCGATCGATTACATCATCAACCAATAGCCCATTATCATTCGGCTTAAACCAAAACCAAAAATCCTAATATCAATTTACATACGCTTTATCGCCATCGGCCAGAAGCCGTATGGCTTCTTGAATCTTATTGTTGTCCATTATATTGTCTAACAATTAGAAAGAGTCCGTGAAGAGTTCATATTTATACTTGAATGCCGACAGTGGACACACACAGAGGGGTTGTTACACGATGCCGTGTGAAAAAAGACTAATCACGCTGAGAGTGATTGGTCAGTAAAGACTAATCCATGGATATGATAAGCATTTTAGAGACAGATCATTGTTATGTTAAACGCGAGAATGACAATATTACGAATAAGTTTAGGTTTGTTTACAAGTTTCGGGAGTATGCACAGAATATGTCGAGCAATTTTACGTTTAATGATCTTGGAATCTGAGATCGCAATAAATATAGCCAAAAACTAGGATACAGGAAACCCATTATTATTTTTCATATCAATCACCACGAAGTCTGATCGAGCAGATCTACTATTCTTGATCAACGCTCGATTTATTTAAAACTAGCAAGTTCTGGACTTGGCGATCAACTCGTTTACTCTCATACACCATCAACACACTTAATCCCCCTTTCTGCCGTCAAATTCTTCTCTGTGTAGAATTAATTTACCAATGAATTATCCGACACCTTTCCATTTATATTCAAACACGCCCGCATCAATCATCGGGTCCCCTCTGGCTTTTGTGTTAATAACAGACCAAATCGTTTCTTCAAAGTAATACGATGGCGGGAGTATTTATCATCAGGCGAAAATCGAGCAGGATGTGCTGACTTGGTAGCCGTCTGCTTTGGACTCAGTTTCTACGTGAAGGTTTCGGGAAAATGAAAATTATGCGTACTTCCGTGTAAGTCCCGCCGATCTTATTTTCGCCAAGTTTAAGCTTGGCTATGGGTAAGCATGCCGTGAGTACTTTTGTGTAGGTACTTGCCTTTAGCGTGTAAACCCGTTTGCCGTCTTCGTCGAGATGGTACATCAAATGCATGTTGAATTGGGATTATTGTGTTATGGTTATGGTTAATGGTTATGGAGTTTTTTGAGCAGTAATAATTTTTTTCTGCAATTTATCACGTGGACGTATGTTTATTGGCTACATATTTAACTTTAGAGTAGCTCTACTATGGAATTTTGCTTTTCGAGCATGTAGTATGTACGAGTTCAGCGTAGACACGAGAAGTAATCGAACTAGTATAAAGGCAAGAGCTAGTTCTGAGGACTGTCAAAACCGTTACCTTCGTCAATTCCGTTTTTTGAAAGATTCAACGACATTACGGATGTGCAAAAATAATACGCGACAATACGAAGCATTATATGAATACGTCACCATAAGCGTTTGTTCTGACAATGAAAGAAAGAAAAAATCTGCATATATGGTCGTTTTCGAAAGTTGTATAACTGTTAGGTGAGCAAATTGTTCGTATGTGTAACATTTATAAGGATTTATTTAATAGAAACGGGATCACTCAGACTCTGACTAATCCTGAAGATCTTTATTAATGTCGTTCGCTCTTATGTAAAAGGCAGCAAAGTCTGTCCTATACATGTGGAATGTCAGTAATTTGAAGTCGGCAAAAATGTTACGTATACACTTGTGTGCCTTTACTGCCGGTATTACAATTTTTTAGAATGAAGTTTCTCGACTTATAAAAGGAATCATCCGTGGTAGCGATTACCAATCAACTCGATTTTATTGACAGGGAAATATCGTACGACTAGTAAGGCATAGTAAGGCATAGCGAAAATTAATCATCTGGGACTTGGACATTAGATACACGAATTCTCATTTAGATTAAGAGAAGTAGGCTCAATTACTACAAAACCTTAAGGTAAGCTTCCTATCATCTGACTTACTAATGAGTTGTGCTTAGGTAATAATAAGGCTGTGAGAAGCTCTTATTGAAGTGAACAACAAGGTCCGAATAGTGCTAGAAGCACTATAGTCACAATGTTTCGAGTCAATAAGCAAGGGAGAGCGCTTGTATCTTTGACCTTGGGATTCAGCCGTTTCGATCGAACCTTGGCAATCTACATTCCTGGAATGTTGTGACATTATTACCTTGCAACCCCAAAAATAGACTAATAATTTTTCTTATATTCAAGAATCGCTACGATTTCCCTAATACTAATCTGTAATCAATCCTGCCAGGATAATATATTTGACTCTTAAATATCAAAGTCTTTTCTTTGATTCAGCAATCTTACGTTATAGGGCTACATCTATTATTTTATATGCGGGATTTTCTTGCATTGCCTGTAATTAGGATCCCGTTATTGACACCTGAGCAGTTATTTAAAAGATCGATGGTGCATTGGAGTAAAGCAGATAACCCCACCTGTATCGACAATAAAAAAAGCATCTGCCATGGAATTTTTCTCATTATTGGATTCGTTAGTAACAACCTCTTTCGAGGGATATGAATGAAATTCAACTTGAACATTAGACGCTTTAATTAGTTTGTGGTTGTTACAAACGAACGAGCAAGGCCGATCTAACATACAGGAGAAAAGAAAAAAGAATAATATCTGCTTGCAGCCAGATGTACAGATAGTAGTAGCTCAGCTAAGCTTGTTCCAATATCTAATAAAGTGTTGGGATAGTTCTCTCATTCAACAGAGTCCTTATCGTAACAAACCGTCGAAAAAATCACAGTAACTTTTTTACACGTCCCAAAGGAAAAAGAAATGCTGATACCTCCAGATAAAACCGAAAGCCCAATTCAACATTTAGATCATTCCAACGTCATGATTTCCTAACGTCAAAGAAACATTATTTTCGCCGTCTGCCATATTAGTAGTTAGTATCAATGGAAAACGCGTCTTCTTCAATATCTATATAGACGCAAGACTATCATTTAATCATACACTCTCACCCTACCAAAATTACCACGTCTCCGACAAAGAACAAGATCATTAACACTTCGCATTCACCACAAAGTCTGCAACAGTCTTGTGTTAGCCCTCCACATATAACATCATTTATTAGCCAATTTTATTTTTTTTAATTAACTAAATTAATCTAATAGATCTCACCTTCTTACTATGCAATATAAAGCCGCTGGGAATGCCACAAATATAACCGACAGTGTTTGGATTATATTTGCGAAAATAATCGTTTATATTTCCATGGGTGTAAAGCATCTGAACGTTATATCAGCTAGGCAAAAATACGGAATTGAATTGAATAGAGAGGAAAAGAGCAATTTAAAAAGACAAGCGAAACAACAAGTAGACAGATAAAGGGGTGAGGGGAGAGAATTGGGCATAACATATTACGGAAAAGATAGAACAGTAATTCATAGAATGAGGATTAGGATTTAGTGAGAGAGCAGCAGGTATGATTTGCAGACTCATCTCACACATGATTTCATCCGAATCCTAAATTACATCTCATCCACAACTATCTCGTGTTCCCAACCTATATTCTCCCTAAGATTGTTCCTTTGCCATGCATGCGTTCTTCACTCAACATACTCGCCTTCCTCTGCGCTTGAATCATCATGTTTTATATGCACCGGTAGCTCTTCCTCCTCTTTCTCTTTCTTGACCGCTCTAGTCTCTTTACCCTCTTTACCATCCCTATCCTCCTTACCCTCGTCTCTACTGCCCATCACACCATTTTTATTGTCCGCCTCATTTTTGGTTCGATAGTTGTCTGTGCGGGGTGAAGATGTTGAGTGACGGGAATCGTAATAATGGCTGTCATTACGAGAATCAGAATGGCGAGAGTCGGAGTGGCGGGTATAGTGAGAATCGGAATAGCGGTCTGTGTAATGATGATCGTCGTGCTTTGACGTTTTCTATTTGAGCGGAATTTTTAAAGATTTATGTTTGAGTTAGGGCGATGATCAGGTATTCAGAAATAGCCAGTAACTTCATACCTTTCGTCTTTTTCGTTTATCACCGTCTCGTTCCCTATCACTATGTTCACTCTCGCCAGAAATATCGGAATGGTGATGTTCCCGTCGATGGTGATATCGTTGGCTTTTGTGCTTACGCTTACGATCACTAGATGAATGGCGGGTTTCATCGTATTCCTCATCTTTTAGCGTCCCCTCTTCGTCATCGCTCTCGGCTTGATCTTTTCTTGCGTGTTTTTCCTGAGCATAAATAGAGATTTGATTCGTCACACAGTATTGGGTAGGGTCAAAATTTACTACTAACGCTAACTGCCAACGTATAAGCGAGCTGAAAGAAGTAGATACCTTCAATCGATCTTTGAATTTGTTGAAGACTTCAATTCGTTGTTCTTCATCATTTAAAGCTTGAAATTCCTCGGTTTTTTCTAGTATTGGTCTTACTTGTGTCCATGTGATGTCAGGGTTAAACATTTGCTCAAAATGCTTTAGTATGGATCGAAAAGCCTCCATTTTTTTACGTTGTTTCTTTTCCTGCTTTTTTAGCGACTAGGAACAAAAAACGGTTTGATATCTTTAAGCCTATCCATCAGCAAAATTAATAAAATAGCAATTGAATTCGCAATATGTTCACCTGTTCGTATATTATTTTCAAATTGACGTCACTCAAAACTGAACCCCGTTCATCTGATTTCACTATCGCCATAAACTCAACTAATGGCAACGATGGACCTACAGTTATGTCCACATTCTACCATAATTAAACGTTAGCATTAGTTTTACCCTTTAGTCACTTAAAGTCCATCAGAGTGGAAATGTACCTTCATAACGTCCATCACCATTTTTTTCTGCTGGTATAGAATCTCATCCAACTCCTCCACAACGTCCCAAAACAATTCCAATGGACTGGATCCCGGTTGACCGAGCATATTCAAGTATCGTTCATCTGTACCTATCAGCGGATAGATCTCGGACCATTTTGATTTGGCCGTAATAACATCTTTTTGTTTCAGTTCCTCCAATAGTTCTCTAAACGTACTTCTGTTCTTCCTCTCTCTTCGTTTCTTAGCGTCTGTCATCTTTGCTTTCTTCAGGTTATATTCGCGTTCAAGAGACTTGATATGCTCTTCATAAACTGCGAGAAAATCAAGCATATCCATACGCTGAAGACTCTCATCAGATTGGTATTCAGGTGTGGAAGAGTATATTTGTTGAGCATCCTTCCAACGAGTACTCATTGTAATGTTAGATAGAGAGCGAAGAAGGCGACTAAATTTGTCCATGTTCTCTTTACGTTTTAAATGAGCTGCTTCCTAAAGTATTAGGGTACGCTAGTAAGCATTTACCTCTCGACAATGCGATCATACAACTAAGGACACAATCTTACTTTTTCTTGTTTACGAAGCTCGTAAATATAGTCATTGAACATTTTCTCTCTTTGTCGTTCATCCTCAACTGCCAGAAATGCCGGTTCTTGAGCAAATATTTCGCATATCTTTCTACCTCAATAGATGGAAAATTGGTTAAGCGTTATATATATACTCAATATAAAATTTTCACGGAAATCTGCTCTTAAATTATTTTCTGTTTGACCAATTATCCCATTATCATGTTTCTTCCTCACGTGTGCAGTTTATAATAAATGTGTCTAATTCTCCCACCAATCTAACAAACATACCTGTATCGTGTAGACGAATTGATTTCCGGGCGAGTTTCGAGTAATTCGATAAAATCAGCGCGCGTTTTTGCTATTTTCGCTTTTTTCTCCTCCTAATGCAGTTAAGAACGTGTTTAAAAAACTGAGATATGAGCAAAATTATCCTTATCGGTTGCTATTTACGTTTTGACTCTGAACTTTCGGGTCTGCAAATTCTTGAGCGATACAAAACTGAGTTTTTGCAAAACGAGTTTAGCGAAGCCCTTACCTCTTCCTTCCTACGCAGTTCATCAATGTAATCCTGATAAGCTTGCTTACGTTCGCCCAAAGTCTTCAACGCCCTATACATTGGTTTAGTGATGACTGCCCTCATCGTTTGCTCCCAGCTCCAATCTGGTGTTATTCCCTACGAATCAAGACCATTTAGAACCAGTAGCGAAACAGAACGATCTCTTTCTTTCCAGACCTCACAACCCGCTTGTAATCTCCTATTTTTAATATCCTCATACTTCACTTACCGACTCCTTGAGCAGCCGCCTAAACGCAGCTTGAGCCTCTTCCTTTGTCTCAAATTCCACTTCGATTTTCTGTTGCACTGGCGTGATTATCGGTATATTCGGGCCGACTACTGGTGCAGCAACACCCGATGGACGTGCGGAAACGTTGAGAGGAGTGACATTTACAGGACTTACTCCAGGAGTGCTTAATCTGCGGGCTTTTTCCATATCTTGTTGATTTGGAAACGAAGCACCTGCGCCGTTGATTTGGGTTGGGGGATCAAGTGGACTTCTAAAAGGAAAACAATCAACAATGTTGAGCAGACGACATCAAAATAGGCTGTTCAATCGACCATATTTGTAGATAGCTTATGTATTATACTGCGAACAAAACTTACGCTGGCTTTTTCTCTTTTTCAAGGGTTTCGAGAAATTCTACAAGGCAACCTTGAGATGAATAATAATAGCAATAATTGAGACTATAAATCCAAGATCAGCTAACCTTTGTATTCTGCGGGCATATCCCATGTCGTTTCTTTGGTACCCGCATGATAATAATACTTTCGACCGCCCTCGGCTGTAAATTCCTTCCATTGACATGTCCCTAGTGCTCTCTGAATACCGCACGATACGGTAAGAATTATTCAAAATAAAATGGGCGCGAAATTTCAAGTAGACCGATAGTCAGTCATACCTCTTCTGGAGTTTTCAGCTCCTCTGGCTTATCCCAAGAACTTTGTTTCGTCAGTGTATTGTAATAATACTTTCGGCCGTCAGCCGATGTGTGTTCTGTCCAAACACTATTATGCTAAAGATGGCAGTTGAATGTGAGTTGAATGTGAGTTGAAGGTAAGCATACATAACTATGTAAATGAACGTTGAATCGTACCGGATTAGAGCCAAATGTTTGGGAAGCGAATGGTGGTGCCGGTGGCCTTCCACTAAACGGTGGTGCTTGGTATGGTGGTGGCCGTTGTGGGGGCTGAATAGCATAATGCATATGAATCACTCTGATAATTGGCACAAGATAACTTGCTTTTGCAGATCAGCTCGACCGGTTACTACTCACCCCACCATATAACGGTCGTTGGCCGTACTGTGGAGCTCCACCGGTTTGTTGCCAAGACATTTTGACGGAACAGAAGCTATGATATTAGTATGTGGCGATTGTTTAGTTGAGTCAAAAAAAACTATTCGATATATTGGTTTGCGCAGCATAAATTTATGCCACTCTCGTCCAATTATAATTAGAATTAATTATGACCTGAATACATGTATTAGTATTATAAAAAATCCTGCGCTACCCGAAATTTAATCAATCCAAGACTGTCAAAACGGATATTTTGATATATTCACGTTCTTTTTGTCAAACCCCTTATCTTTCGGTGCTCGCGACAGAGGCATGGTTTCTTGTTTTCGAAATGTCTCAACTATCCGAAGAACTAGTATGAGGGATTCCCTAAAAAGACGCGTCGAGATTTATCGCTCTTTTTTATAGTTAATACTCTCTTCGACAAAGAATTATTGTGCCTGAACGGAAGTTAGAGTAACGTCTAGCTAATGGATTAAGCGGACGCTGGCAATAGTCTAGAGCAAGGGACGTGGTTTCGAGGGCACCCAAATGCAGAATTGAGCATTCGATGCATCAGATCGCGTCGAGGACTTTCACTTGTGACCGAAGTTGAAAATACCCTCAAAAATATATTCAAGTAGCTGCTAAAAGTTCTGCGTTCCCGAAGTTTGTCTTGACAATTGGTAGACTAAATAAAGTTGTACTGTTACGATCATACACTTTTTGAATCTCATGCATATGTAATTAGAATATAATCCCCCCACATATCCCGTTTAGCGTCACTAATTGCTCTAAGATTGAGCGTCTCGATATCCCAGTTTAGTAATCTTTTTATTATACCCAAGAGACTACGTTACGCCGGAGGTTATGTCTTCTCCGCGGTCTGTAAACAAAGACCTGTAACAATGCAAGTTTAAGAAAAGCACTTCTGACCCTCATTTGTCACATATAAACGAAAAAACTGACCAAGCAAAAGTGAACACGCTACTTTTGATGTCACAAAGTTTAGAAGGCTCAGATTTACAGGCGATTATACATGATTTAACTTTCATGTTACGCCTTTATATTTAGATTGCTCACTTTGAAGTAAATATTTGACTGTCAAGTGATTTACGTTGAAGAATATGTGAACTTTTCTGACGTAATTTAACTTTCATTGTTTTATAGCCGTTATTTATTTTTTTGCAAAGAACGTAGTCAGTTTCTTCATTCCTTTGATATTAGCTTTTGCTAAAACAGCTTGACCAGTTGATAGCTTCTGTTTCTAGGTGAGGGATGGGTAGTGACACAATGTTTTAAATTACAGTACTATTAATATTGATATCCAATTAGCAGTAACTCTTTGTAAATACCTTCGTTGGTGGTCCCTTGGGAGGGAGGACTTCCTTCCGCATTGTCTTTCTGGCATAATAGTCAGCGGGATTATCCGCTATTTGCGTGTTCGATACTTCCAATCTTCCAAGAGCATCAAAGCTACAAATAATAAACGCGCGGTTCAAAAATGTCATAAGACCCGCATCTAAACATTACGCACCATTGTTATCCATTCTTGCTTACTTATATACTGCCATAAGCCTTTCTCTCCAAAGTAGAGGTAAATACTCCATGACTATTTCTATTGTTGCTTTTAATCGAATCTCTAAAGCAACAGACGTTCCACATTACATTAAACAGTATAAATAAAAAGCCAAACCATAAAGCACCTTAATACCTTTTTGAAGTCGATCATCTATCGAATCGTTGTTCATGTGTTGTATCAGTTGCTTTAGACTGTTAAACGAATCAAAATTGGACAATATATGAGATATCTATACAATTTTAAAAAGGATAATAAGTAATGGGGGCCGTCCAAGATAAAATAGACAATCCAAAATATTGACCATTACTTTCAATTTAAGCCAAGCCATGACTTTCTCATCATTTAATCGAAATACAACTTTTCCAGAGTTCATGACTATGTGAAGCGCATCGTGTTACATACAATTAATGTTTCAAGTAAATGTTCTCACTACTCACTGACCTTGACAATCACACACCCACCCTACATATTTCTCAATGTTGTTGAGAACAGATAGTTTTGGCAAACTAGGATACTGTTCTCCATCGAGAATATCTTCCAAGGGTATAAATAATCCGTTTGAATCTGATGTCTAGTCAATGTTATAGTATGCGTATTGCTGTGTGTATCATGAACAAACAAGACCTCAATAAGATGCATTCTCTAAAACTCACCTTTCTTCGACAAGTGTCAAGTATTGGTATTAAGACAAATAACGGGTCGATTGGGGTAAGACAAAAAAGACTTCCATCTTGTAACAAAAAATATTCAGTTTCGAGGCGCTAGCTAAAAACGAGCAGGACGAATTTAAGTATAGAAACCCACCGCTTTGAACAGTGCTACCTATGAACCACGATCTCTGACTTTCACAGTCAAGTTTACGAATTTCTAATAGTGTCTGGTCTTGAAGAATGTACCTCACTGCTTGACCTTTTTGTACAGAATTAGTTTGTTTTCTCAAGATCAGCCGTCAGTAATTCGGTAGTTACCTGTCCTTGGATGAGGCAGTCTTATTGAGAGTAGGCTTTCATTGCTATTTTCTTTACCTGAATTTAATGGTTGTCGTAAACACAAAGAAAATGGCTAGCAATCTCGAATATTGTGTAGGTGCTTACCATATTCTTTTATAAAAATCCAACCATGCATTGGAGAATGAGTTCAAGAAGAGACGCGCTTTGGATATGATACGTGTAGCCAATAAGAAAAGAAATTGTTATTCGGATAATCACCACGTGGATGACCGTAAAAAAAAATACTCCAACTTTTCCCCTGTTAGCCAAAACTATGGTCAGTAACTGTTATTTCCAAACAGTCAACTTTATTATACTTTTTTCACAAAGCTCTCCAGGCTGATATCATGTACTTATTTAGGCTACCCAACCAAATCCCAAAGCTTTTCCTTTAGCAGATGCCGAACTTACAGGTCAGATACTTGGTTTAGTTCAACAAGCATTACACTACAAACAATTAAAGAAGGGTGCAAATGAAGGTAAAGCCTTTGTTAGCAGTTTCAGAACCAGAAAATTAAGATGCGCGCACTTAACATGATTGTTGTCTTTACTATGTTAGCTACAAAAACACTTAATCGGGGTACAGCAGAATTTATTGTAATGACAGCAGATACAGAGCCGATCGAAATTCTATTACATTTACCTCTACTTTGCGAAGACAAGGTTAGATTCACACGAATATAAGTATTGTTATGTTATGTTCTACTTGTACTTGATACTCATGAAACTCTATCCATTTTACGTTTAGAACGTTCCGTATGTCTTTATTCCATCAAAGACAGCTCTTGGACGCGCATGTGGAGTAACTCGCTCGGTAATTGCCGCATCTATTACAACAAACGATGCATCAGAACTTATGCCACAAATCCAGCAGATTAAAACTAGCATAGAAAGACTTCTGATCTAATTTATCCGTGTTGGGAAAGGGGAGTGGCGGCTTTGACGAAGGTTATTCTTCTCTGACTTTTTTTGTAGCAGTTTTAGCAGAGGCTCTATAAAACAACTTCTAGACGTGTAGGCGGCTTTATACGATAAAACTTAGAAACGTAATACGTTTATATAGTAGACAAACAAACATGCTGATAACTTTTAAGGGTTTTAGGACTACAAGCGATACTCTCGAAAGAAGTGGATATAAACGAACAGTCATCCATAGTAATAAACAATAAAGGAGTAGAATAAATTCGTCAGGAATGTCACCAGTTGAAATTAAATGAATATATCAATTTATTAAATCACCACCCGATCATGGATTATATGAATGAATCGTATCGTCAACTAATAGGAGTTTTGCCAGAATTCGATGATTCTCGATGGTTAGCTAGCTCCTCTATTTGTACAAGCCCAGATCGCGATATTCTATTGTATGGCCGTCACCATATTTTCAATTGTATTGCTACTGTACCGTTATTACTTTTTGCGTCTTCTGTTTATACAGTATTTCGTATAACACTGCTACTTGTATCACCAATGTCGCAGATATGACGTTAAAGCTTGATTAGTTTTACCATCTCAACTAAACTAATTATTGATCCTGCACATTGGACAAGTTGTAAGATCTCCTCATCATCATTATAATTAGCCACATGTTGCTGAACCCTGATAACACAATCCCAAACAGCAGCCTGCAAAGAAATTTCATATAAGAAACTGGTATAATAATAATAATAACCATTTGCCATAGTCAGCAGGTGGCTGCAATCAGCGGCAAGATTTCAGTTGCATCCTTATAGACATTTCCAGGGCTCAGGACAGTCTAATTGCAGTATCATTTGTCATCAATCTTCCAGTAAACAGATTGTGAGGCAGCCACAATGAAATTATCTTGGCTGATAAAAGTTGTCATTAACATCATTCACCTGTATGGATAAATCCAATAGTTGTCAATGTCTGCAACACAAGCACAGCCCAATTAACCTCATTTGCCAGCTGCATAAGCATGTCCTTTAACATCTTTGGTAGCTTCAACCCACTTTTTGTGCCATTCTCTGATGTGCATGTTCTCCTTGCTTCTCCACTACCACCAGCAAACTTAAACTCTAGATTTTCTAATGACCACACTATTAAGTCTCCTCTCTGATCAATCTTCCCCAGGTACAATGTGGTTTGCATTTTTCTGCAACTGCATGCTTCACTGATACACAATTAATTTTTGATACAAATTAGATTCTAGCAAAAATAAAAAAGCAAAATACAACACATACCATATTGGCTCCATATTCTTGATGTCAGCTATCAACAATAGGGTACCAAAGTTGCATATTATACCCTTGCTCATGGTGTCCTTTTTTGAGCAATTCCATTTCATATCCCATATATTACACACCACACCACACAAACAATGTTAAACCCTTTCTCCTCACTGCATTTGCATAATTAATACTCACATAGTATGCATGATATACAATATTTGATCCAATCATAGTCATGATGTTTTTCATGGACAAATTCTCCCTTTATAGTTTCAATTGGTTGCTTGATTGCCTGTCTTAACTCATATAATGTATTCTTCAAAAATTTGTCATTGGAAACAAGTGGTAAATGCTTGCTCTGAGAACTATTTAATGCTCACTTCACCTTTTTGAAGGTTGAATGGTATTTCAGAAAGTCTTCTGGAAATTCTGGAAGACTAAAACTTTTATAAAATGCTATTGATCACACTTGACTTGTCTGTGGGGTCAATAATGAAGCTATGTGCCATGCTTTGTGGAGTAAAAGATGTTACAATATGAGATGAGACATGTGAAACCCCTGACGCTGAAAGGCGGAAGGTACAAAAGGCAGACAGACAGGACGCGCAGGCAAAAGAAAGGCGAACTACGAACGGAATGACAAGGAAAATAGCTATCTACCTTGTCAGGGTAGAGATGGCAGATTTTAACGTGAAGCGTGACGATCTAACATTTTTCATGGGCATGTGACAACAAGTGTCGCGTGTAATCTGCGTCACTATGTAAATCCCGGATTTTACATATGTAATTTGCGCCAGATGTCCCCAAACCGTAGTTAATATTTGTTGTGCATATATATGCATATTGGCGTCTTATTTACGAGTGCCATGTAACCATATGATGATTACCTTACCTTAATATGACGTGGTAGTAGACTGCCTTCTTTAAACAACAAAGGAAGTATATTTTAAATGTATCACGCAGTGAGTGCATCATCATACGATTTATTCTTTACATAATTGCAGGAGTAGATTTAGATTACAATGTATCACATACGATTATTATTCGATTCTGTTGACAGACAGTCTTCAAACAATCGCTAGTAACACAAGCAGATGATATGTCAACCATAACGGTATATCATCATACAGTTGGTTTGGTGTGTAAAAATTGAAAGCAAAACTTCAAATAATAATCGCGTTTCGAATTAACAATGTTTTGGTGCCCCTCGCTTTTAATTGATAATTAATTGACTTATAGGGGGGGAGGGGTCAGACAAATTCTGTAGTCTTGAGCCTCAGAGATCTTTCCGTGGCATCATGTTCACTTTGCCCAATTAATAGACTTTGGCGAAGCATAAATAATTCATACCATTCCATCTTATTTGGCAGTTCTAATAATGGCAACAAAAGTATAATCGACACATGTCTGTCAACCTTAATCAAGTAGATCTTAGCCTTTGACACTTATGTTGTGTGCCGTTTTCTTGACTTTTTTAGAACTGTGGGAACAACTACCTTTTTAGTGAACATAAGCACCTTCACGTTCAGGGTACACTCAATACGAAAAATGCGCGCTAAAGAATTTTCTACAAGATCGGTATGATAATTGTTGTTATTGTAACTGGTTATAGTATTGGTATAGTTATAGTACAGTTTTGCCAACTTTTCTTGTGTTTCTAGTATTGATTCACGTGATCGTCTTTGAAAACCGACTTTAAAATTTTAAAGCGATGGTTTTTATTTGTGAAACCGCTTGAACCCACGGTTGTAAGCGATCACAAGAATTCTGGTAGTTGATAAGCACAATTCCTTGTAGTAGTAGGGGAAAGAAGTGAGTATTACATGTTAATAATCGTTGTCATATATTAATATCTTTATTTATTGTATAAATAAGAATGACTATCTTACAGTAATCACGTCTTCTCGTGATCATATTTCACCAACTAGTTTGAGATACGGGACACATTCTTCTAGTTGTCTATGTGTCGTATCGTATCGTATACACTGATTGGTGATGAATACAACTTATTGCGTCGTCTTTGAACTTATATTCACAATACTTTCATGAATATTAATTCATGAAGCATACTTATAGTAACCATAAGTCGCACTTTAGTTATATTAACTGCGGCATATTGACGAAGCAAAGGTGACAAAGCAGCTAAAAACTGCAAAATACTACTAGCACTATTACTAATATTACTAAATGTCTCTTAGCATAGTCCTTGAATCAGAGAGAGAAGAAAATAAATTTTTTCAGAAATAGCAAATCATATGAAATGTACATGAGGAGTCTATATAAGCAAATACCATATTTTTTTTTCCCGCAACTCTCTATGGTCAACTATTATCTAAATATGGTAAGACGTACCCGGTATGGCACATCAAAGATGCATATACTAGCGACCATAAAGAGCACAGAAGCAGGAGTGGGGATGAAGAGAGGAAACGCAAGAGAAAAAGAAAGAAAAAGAAAAACAGAGGACAATAAACCATTAAAGTGAAATGATCCGAACACTGCTCATCGAAATTCAAATGATGGGAACGAATTGTCTGGGCAATGGCGTAGTTTGAGTTCTTGGAACCTACATGAGCAATAAGTATTTGGTTAGCAAGAATAGTTTGGAAAAAAGTTTGGATAAAAAAATGCCAAATAACACTAAGAACTAATTCTGACAATCCTGTCGTCCCAAAACAACAGCATGCTTTATCCTCCTTGGTACATAAATAATAATAACAACCACGAATAAGGAATCCGCTTACCACTCTGAATTTTTATGGTAGTAGAACCCAGTAATCACGCCGGTACTAGATTGATAGCATATATAGTAAAACCCAGCAAAACTTGCACCATTTATAGTTTTGACTCTATGATCTGGTACAAGAAAATGTTCTTTCCATCGCATGAAAATGAAGTCCTTGTTGTGGAAATCATAAGAAAAGCCATCGAGTTTCATTGATTTGTGGATTGGTCGGAAGGCTGGGAAGCGAGTCTATATACGAAAAAAGATGGAACGATAGGATGAATAAAAAAATTTGAAACTTTTTTGTGTTCCTAGCTTTCTAGAATATTAATTATTTTGTTATGTATCCGTTATTACATAACTCTTGTCCACTAATTTCAATTCCTCTTTCCTTCTCCATCGCTTACGCTCCACCCTCACGCCTTTCCTTCTCCATCCCTTACGCTCCACCCTTACGTCTTTCCTTCTCCATCCTTTACGCCTTTCCGTCTCCATCCCTCCTCGCTCTTTATTGCCTTTTTGTAAACCCACTTACCCAGTGTTGGATATCAATATTATCATTCGCATCCCACTTCTTTGTTAGAAAACTATGTTTTCTGCCTATAATCTCGGCTTCAAAGAATGTAGTCAATTCCGGATAATCCTCGGTAAGGCCTTTGATATGGAGATATCCACAAAGAGAAGATTCTGCAAGATTTACGTGCTGATGACGTTGTTTCATCGGAATTGATATAGTAATTAATATGTTTATGTTAGTGAATATTGTTGCGAGTGATAATGTGCACTTTGGTGAGAAAGTGGGTAAGACTGGAGAGAATGGATCTGAGATAATATTTTATGTACAAGTGATGCCGATGTAGGTAATCAGGGTTAGTGTAATATATATAAAGTGGTTTGCTTTTTAACAAGACTTTGTGTATGAATATTATATATATTTTTGTAACTCTATTTGTATAAATTATATGTTCAGCTATCGAATTGCAATGGTTTACACTGATTCCATTTCCATTAACACTCACATGATGCTATGCGTACCACGGTTTGTCCCATACATGGCCCTTCCACCATTCTCTTTCCCATTCTCTGTCCCTCCTCCTCCCCCACCTCAATCTCTCTTTGTCCCTCCTCCCCCCCTTTGTCTTTCTTTCTTTTCTTCACCTTTCTCTAATTAATACCATACCTGAATATGCACAGCAACCTCATAACTGCTTCTTCCACTTCTCTGCTCTCCTTTGAACCTCGAACCCGAATACAATGAGCAAGTGGTACTCGGCCATAACCTTACGTTCGATATTTCGGTGGTGAGTGATTGTCTCTGATTTCTCTTTGGTACAATTTGTTCTTTCTTAATTAAATCGCGTTTTTGTCCTTCTGCATTGTGTTTGTGGTTTGGATCGTGACATGTGCCTTCTACACAGGCACACTTATCGGCTGAATCATGGGAGGTAGATTGCGGATTTGAGAATACGGGCATTTAATGATAATATAAGGTAGTAGTTTTAGCAGTAAAATTATATGCAGTGTCGTGCGATGTGTCGTATAGTCTTGTAGTAAACGGATGCTGTAAGGGTATTTATATGTCACCAAACACTGTAATAGGATGAGCAATTTTTTTTTGTTGTGTGGCTGTAGATGAAAAATTTTCTTTGAATGTGATATTGTTATTGTTATGTGTGTGTGTATGTGTATGTGTTTATGTGTTTGAGCGCATACACTACAACAAAAAAACACAAGTTAAGATGACGCCACATAAATATTGTAGGGGTAGGAATCCAACGCCACAACAATGTTGGGGTCATTATTTACATTACTGTCTCGTTCGCGCCAACTGTTAGCATTAATTGGTTCAAACTGAGCATTTGCATTGGACGTGTGGGTTTGTATCAGCGGAAGATGAAACCACGATCATCGCTGTCTAGCGAAATGGCTGGCATGAATTGATCAAAGATTAATAAAGATCACGAAAACTCATTCCTCTTTAACTTTTACCCGAAAAATTGGGTAACTATAATTGTTAGATTTGCTCACTTCCAGACCGCGATGGATTCTGCTTTTTAAGCTTTGGACGCGCATTTTGAAGAAGATATACCACTCGGTATCTTTCTATTGAAAGAGAAAACCCCCACCCTAAACTTGATTTTGCTAAATTGACATATTTTAGGGGTCGTATGTTTTATAAAACGTTGTGATCACGTAGCAGTTGTTCGGGTGTCACGGTTGTTAACTTGTTTCATTAAAGTTGTTCACAGTAATATTGCGGGCATTGTCCACAAAATAACGTATTGTCTCATCCATTATCGGCAATGGCCTGTCATTGGTTTTTATGCTGAAATGGGCGGTAATTTCTTTATAATGGGACTGATGTTCTCATTGGTAATAATTCCAATCTTTGTCGGTAACATGGAAACATATTAAATGAGCAAAAGCCGGCTTTTTACAAGCTTTGTCTTGAATTGAAGACAAACTGATGGCTCATGCTTGCTTGTTTGTAACGTCATACCAAGCGGGGGGAAGGGGGTCTCCAGGCTATAAAGTGAGATATAACAATTAAAGATGGAAGTTAATATTAACCCCCCCATTAAAACCCGGTTTTGCGTGTGAGGGAATTTTCCCCCAATATCCGAAGTTCTATTGTAGTGAGGTAGGCTGTGCGTTTTGTGCAGCAGCTCCACAGATAACAATAAAGTAAATGACCCTTCTGATCGTATATGCAGGTTGTCCCTCATCACCCTGTGTTTGTTTCTTGTGTTTTGTTTGACCTTTTCCCTCTTTCTATAGACGTTGGAAACTCATCCTTTCCCCTGCTATAAAAGTTATTTACTATTATTGTTTTATTGTTATTGTTGTGCGCATGCATTGCAGAAATCACATCAATTGTTACCTATAGATACGAGATGTATAAAACGCTGTCATTTCTGCATGCCGTCTATTCTTTGTTCTCTTTCATTGTTTCTTTGCTCACATTATCTCATATTATCCTTGCAGCATGTCCCCACACCCCCCGAGTCCTTTGTGCGGTTACTCCGTGCCCTTGCATCCTCTTCGGCTGTCATATTATGCAGACAATGTGGAGAACAAATGACACTGACGTAATTGTGTCAATCAATGCATTATCAGGATGTTAAACTGATCAATAAAGGAACTGCATGCACATGCGATTGGTGATAAAAATAAGTCACTCGCAAAAATTTATGTACGAGCGAGCTTGCTCCACTGACAAGTTTTAGGGATACAAATTAGTGCATCTGTAATAACCCTGCTTTTGATTATTTACCCTCCGAATAAGATTAGTGAAGCCAAAACAAATGTTACGGTCTTACCTTATTTGTTCGAAGAGATTGTCAACTCGCCTTCTACCGCCCTATTGTGGGCTTTCCGTGTAAAATTTTGTTAAAATGAGCTCCGTAGTAGAAAAAAAATTTTTGAATGGAATCTAATAAGTCAGGTGCGCAAAAAATTTTATTTTTTTTTTCAATATATTAAATTTCGCATTATCGTTACGCCAGCTCGTGACGCCCATTTAGACTTGAGAAAGACTTATTTAATAAAACGGTAACCCCATTCTATTTTCTTATGCATGCATGATGTCGATTACGGTTCTTTCTGGGGACATTCATTCCTCAACCCATCAACGTTTACCTTGCGATGTGCTTGCTCATGTATGCAAGGGAGGGTGTAGAGATCGATAGCCGAGGATAACCACACACACACATCAGGGTCTTTTTTCACGCCACAATTGTGTGGTCCTTTCTGATAATAATTTAATTGATCAATAGCGACAAGCTGATTAGCTGCTTATCTCGTGTTTGAACAACTTCTTCCTTGATAGGTTTAAGGTGCAAACGTTGGGAGCCTGAATATGTCAAGTGGTCTTATAATTGGACTTTTTTAATTAGCAAACTCTTCTTTAGCTTAGCAGACTAACAAAAAATGGTTGATGTGGCTAGAATATTGACCAATGTGAATGCGCTTTAGTGGATAGCTGTGGCTCATGCATAAGACTAATAATATAGGATTATGTATATATAGAAAACATCAATATAATTCTACCGTAAAATCAAAGAATTACTGTACAATCAGAAGTATTTTAAGAAACAATTGTTCCGTATGTTTCTAAGATCAATAATACCAATTCTCTAGATAGAGAAACAATTGTTGTAAAGTTTATCAAGAACAAAAAATAAAACCATGAATTGAAGAAATATAAAAAGTATGTTTAACACAAAAGTCCCTACCAAGGCCTCCACTAATCGAGTGTTCCAATTAATAAAAATTCGTTCTTTGACTTGTTGATAAAGACCGCTTGAGCGCTTCGTTGAGTTTTGATTCGCATTTCACTACTTTGACACAATTGTAAGTACAATTTGAATACTAATACGATCGCGCTTGAAGACATAAAAATAATAATATTGTTATCAATGATTATAATCTATTCTTTGGTCACTACAAATAAATTTCACTATTCTTGTTACTAATGGCGTCTTTGACACCATTGTTAATGTTGTTTGTTTTTTTTTTTAATTTATTATAATTGTCTTCACTCTTTACATATTCCACTCTGTTTTTTTTCGTGGAGTAGTTCTTTGAAGATAAAAGCTTCTTATCATAGATGTAACAACAGCCTTTGCCTAATACAAAGTTCTTCAGACATATACTTTTTCCACAGAAAGCCAGCTGCACTATTATTATTAATTTTACACATCATAATGTGTGGTACTAGTACAGTGTTTGCTTAATTAATAATGCAACAACAGTTTGTGTCAGAGAGAAAGTAAAGTACAGATCCCTTTCTTCTGTGCATGACTTCATATAACTCTTTGTCCCAATGGTGACCACCACCATCCATTTATATTTAAAGGCTTACTTTTCCCTGTTTTGCATTAATATTAAGCATTTTGCAGTTCAATAAACAGTAAGTATAAGATAGTTGCCCATAAAAAGTTGTAAGCAGCACAAAAAGCAAATGGTTCAATAAATACAGCTAAAATTGGTTCTGTTGAGGAGTGTGGTTCAAGTACACAGCCCTTGAAACATCCAAGTTTGGCATGTTGACTACCAAAGCCCTTCATCATCTGTTGTAGTAGTTTTAACATCCTGTCTTAGCAGCAAGGCAAAAGGTGTTATTATTCTTTTCAGATGGCCTAAACCAGCTTCCATGATTTTCATTTGCTTGGTGTCAGTGAACAAAAGTGCTCCTCCAGAATAATACACAAGTGTTATACACTTATCCAATTCAACATCAAATCAACAGTATTAGTATTGGGTTGCTGTATAGTGACAATATCATACACAATGACTCTTCCTGTAATATATAATAGTAAATAGTGTTGAAGTTTTCCATATCTTTTCAACAGCAGGAACTGGTAAGTATAATAAATGGTCAAAATCCATATTGTTTATATTGTTTAGTCTGGAAAAAAGTCAAGTATTGCTAGTAGATATGATGAAAGTGGAATTTATCACAATGAAAACAAAGCAATAGCATCCATTAACAAGCTAGTATACTGGAAGAGGGCATCCAGGAGTAGGCATTATTATTATAAGCCGCAGAAAGTGAGTTATACTGCAACTTCTAATCCAAATATTAATATTGGTCCAGGGCTAACCATACAGGTGCATCCAGAGTATACTACTGTAAAAAAAGCAGCTCCGAGTTTGTCGCTCGAGATAAAAGCGCATACATATTGATAACAGCACTTTGCAGGTCTTCTCTGCGTGGCACGCGTTCATATTCAAACAAGACAGATTGCAAATTATTGACAATTCTTGGTTTTCCCTATGTAACAGATTTTCAGCCACTTATTCTTATTGAGTATTGTTAAGCGGTTATTGTATCTGAAGTTACGCTGCCACTGGAAAAATGCCTGAACGAACTAGTGGCTGCTAATTCCTTTTAAGGTGACTCGTAGTAAATGTAGCTTGGCGTGGGTGACGTACCATGAAAACTTTCGCTTGTATCAACAACGCGTCTTGTCCTATGCGCATCCATACGATGGCAAGAATAATTCTCTAAGATGCACTCTATTCTTCGTCTCTTGTGCGTTCTGCATAGCACTATTACTATATTGACACCAAGTTTCACCAAAATTGCTTACAAACTGACAAAGTTTACGCGTGATACTGTTTGAGTACACCCTTACCACAAGACTACTTATACTGAGGCACACACTTTGCTGGTACTTCTTCCACATAGTTGAAGTGGTTTGAACACAGGTGCAAGCAATAGCAGAGGTTCCATTGATGCAAGCTCTTATAGCAGTCCTTTTGAGTGCCTAGGCCCATTGGGAATAACTGGTGTTGAAGGTAGCCAGGATTTGGATTTGAAGTTGTATCTCACCTCAAATTATGCTCATTCCAGGTTGCATTTTCCTGGTGATTATGTACCTTCTAATACTAGAATTGAGTTGCTACTAATTCCTTTTGTTACAGGTTATTGGGCAAATCAAACCTTGAGTCTTTTCTGAGGTACCATAGGAAGATGTGTCCAGGTGGGGAGGCAATCATTTCACTGACAATCATTTCACTGACAAATCTTCACCAACATTATTTCGAAGTTATCCTTTTTTGGTAGTTAATTGTCAGTAAAATGTACTGTCAGTGAAATGACCTGTGTTCATTGTATTTTGTCGATGTTATGTCTGGACAGAATTATATTGAGGACCTCAAAGCTATCAATGATCTAGCAAGCTCTGCCAAAGCACTTGACATTCCTCGGGTGAGTAACTTTTTTTGGAAGGAGAAGAAGGCAGAGCCAAGATACATCATTGGCCACTGTTGCAGGTGCAACTTGCAATGGGAACAGTTATGACTCTGTCAATGAGCATACAATAGTATGAACACTTGTGTTTCTCCTCTAGGGGGCTTCCACAGCTCAATGTCTGCACCCTAGCATCCTAGATTCATCAGAGGACTAAGAGTGAGTGTTGTGTTTGTCCACTCCTTCATTCTATCTATCTTTCTTTCTTTCTTTCTTTACTTGTTTTGCTTATGGTTAACTTGATATTATAATTAATCTCCTTTTTTTATTGAGACTGAGATGCAATCTGATGCTGTCAATGCATTTGGCTGAAATAACTCAGATCAGAATGCTGGAGGTTGTGACCTCAGGCAGTGAAAGATTATGATGACTCATCCTTTACTACTACCACTACTCTAGACAAATGTATAGGTTTTAACTAGTGACTAGTTTCCTTTTCTGATGCTCAGGTTTATAAGAGTCAATCATGGATAGATTATTAGAGTAGGATATCATAAATATGATATAGATTTATATGTATTATATTGTTTATTTATTTATTTTTTATCTATGTAATAATGGTGTTTGACACTACTTGAGGACACTTCTATTCAGTAGACAAAATTTTTTCTTATAGACAGTGTTTTTGTTACTTTGAACATTTTGGTAGAGTAAAGAGCAAAAAAATTGTCTTTACTATTCTGAGTTATGCTCTTAAGTTTCCAGATAAAAGCACAGCAGTGTGCCTATAAACCAGAGCTTGAAATTAGTGTTTATATTGTGATGCAAAATAAATGTGACTTTGCAGTAATTGTAAGTTAGGCTAACACGCGTTTGATTATACACTCAATTGTCTAAACATGTGTTTCAATAAAAGAACGCGTATTTTTGAGATTGCAATCCTCAAGCTTGACAAAAAAGTGAGTTTATGTCACATGTGATGCTATATGTTTTTCTCATTATACAGTTATAGAGGAAGTGCAAAGTTACAAAATGTCTTAACCACAAAGATTATGAAAAAGAATGGGATTCTTTCCTTCAGCCGACAGTTTAAATTCATTTACGTGAAAACAGTAGCCACGTACATATTCTCAAAAATGGTCAAATTACGTCAGACAATAATTCTCACGTTTAAACTAACAAGTGTCCACTCTGCCAGAAAAAGATATTATCAATGTCTGTTCTTTGTGTTCAATTCAACGGCGAGTTGAATTTGTAATTATTGATCACTAAGCTTATTCTGTCATGTTATAAGAGGCAAGTCCTGAGATATACGTGGGTGGATCAAAAAGTTCTTGCCACTTGCTTTATTTCGAAAAACTAAATAATAATTTTAAAACTAAATAAGCTATTTCTTCAAAATAGTCATCTCTTACCTTTATATATTTTTGTAATCTCTCATAAGACTTGTGATATTCTCTTGTGGGATACTATCAACAATTGCCTGAAGAGCCCTAACAGATTTTAATCCTGTTATTCTTCCTTATTACAAGTGCTTTCTTAATTCTAGGTAAAATAAAACAAATTAGACGACGTTATCTATAGGCTTAGAATGGAATAGCAATAATTCGACTCGTATTTTGCTTCAAAAATACCATATTCTTAGATGTGCGATGAGGTGTAAGCATTGTCAATGCAATAGCACATTGCGGACAGTTGCTCTTTCCTAATTTCTTTGTACCTTCAAAAAACAAAAGGTAGGATGTAATTAGAATAAAGCTCACTTACTCTCGTATCTCTTTATATTAAGCATATTGAGGATATTTCCAAAATTGCTTCGCAAAGGCCTTCTGGATCAAGGGTCGTCTTCCAAGTAGTTTTTTCCATCATTGAAAATTTTTAACCAGCTGTCAAACTGTGCATAATGTTAGTGCATTATGTGTACAAGACTTCATTAATATTGCATTAATTTTACTAATATCTATCGCGTCTTGCAATATGTAGAATCGTAGGATCGGTATTATTCGAGCCAGTGGTTTCGATGAACAAACAAACTTTGACGTCTAACCAAATTGATTTGGTTTGAAGATCAGAACTTGAGCTTTTATTTGATTAGTATCATGTTGTCATAGGTCATCAGCCCGTAAAACGAGAGGCATACAACAAGAACTTTTTGATCTACCCACGTATCTGTAATTAGTTTCTTATTATACATGTATCTTGAAGTATTTTACTAACAGTTTGATTTTTAATTTCAGTAGTCATTATTCTAGATCTAAATAAAAATATCAAGCGCTACTAAAGAAGCGACTGTCTCATTTAAACCTGCTCCCTCGTGAGTTTACAAAAATCAAGCAAGTCAATATCAGGACCGATTATATGTTGTCGTATCAGTATATCAATGATATAAAGTATTTGAGCACGGGCTCCTTTCTTCCTAAATGCTTCGTGAATTTACTAGTTCGTTGACCATGTTACTAGACTATCCGACTTGCCTGCGGAAGGTTTTTTTTTTCTTCAATCGTGCAGCATTGAATGTATCTTTTATTGGTATTTTTGAGAAAACAATCGAATTAATAGCATTTCACTTATTCTGTATTAACAATATACATGATCGCGCATATATCGATATATATATTTATATATTTACTTGTTCGAACAAACTATTTATTATGAGTATTAGATGGAAGAATCTGTCCATGCCAAACACAATGTCCGTCCCCTGACACTATTTCTCGATCATCTGGGGCTCATAATTCTAATGGCCACATGTACGTTGACGATTATCCAAAGTTAACAAGACGTGGGGCCTGGTTCACCAACTTGGCTCGTACTACTGCCCCACGTTATTTGTACGCCAGACTCGGTGCCACGTGTAAAATCACTTGATGAGATTATTTACTAATCGTACCACTTTCTTACTAAGCGAAGATATGGGTATGAGCTGATTATAACGATCCCGGAGATGCGTCTTGCTATATTTTTTGCATGGAAATTTTTAGCTAAACCAAACACTTATTCATTCCTATCGAACCGAGGCAATCAACAACCTGTATCCCTTAAGAAAGCGGGGTAAGAACGTACGTCTAATCAGAATAATCTAAAAACTATGTACGACATGAACCATGTATGGTATACAAGATAAAGATAACGATAACGATAAAGTGTATAGGGTGATTTTTTTGTGTCTCACACATCAAGTGCAATTATGCTTGTCAATGCAATACGGAAATCACCTAATACTAATTCAGTCAAAGTCAGCATAAAGTAAAATTTGCGTCGGTCATTTATCTCATAACCCATGTTTGTATCAAGGCCGTAGTATTAATAGTCAACATTGAAACGACCTGCGTTGACGTTATTGTCATAATGGTATATAGAAACATGCATTGCAGTGCGAAAACCGTGTTGTTATCAACAATTAATTAATAATATTCAAACAGAGCACACCATTTATATGCTTTTCTCAATACACTTTATTAGCGCGTTAAAGAGAGTAAATTCCATTGCATTCTAGTGACAAATATTACGAAAGTACCCGCTTCACTACAGCAAAACTACTTCGAATTGCTTCTGCATAATAAAGTAAACTATATACCCAACAAATAAAACCAAAGTGAAAAAAGAATAAAATATCAAAAAAAAAAAGAGGAAAAAAACTGTGAAGCCATAAGTTGATCTCTTTATATAAACTTATAGAAAAGTAGAAAGTAAATTAGTAAAAGAGACCTTCATAAAATATGAGTCATATGGATTGACAATATTAGTGCTCGTCAAATCATAACATCCTCACATTCCGCCTGTGATAATCATGTCCACAAATGCCGACATGGACTACATCAGAGTATTCAACATGCGGCCAAAGTGAAAAATATGTTGTCGTTTTAATTGGCACTGACATTACTGACTGGTATTCACCGACGCCATGGCTCTGTCCAAACCATCGAGAATAGCCGTGGTACGGTTGAGGAGCATAGATAAATGAGAAACTTCCCGTTGAAGTTCTTGCCTATGAGCCTGGAGAACACTGGTGATGTTATGATCAACCGAAGCGGAAGCAGAGGATGGGTTAGACTGGCCGGCATTCAAAGAGCGTATACCCAAACCCACAGAAGAAATTGGAGGCAACTGCGGAGAGGGGGAAGGATTCAACAGGGCATTGATGGAGGAAGAGGAAGGTGGGCTCGGCATGGTAATCGCCGGAGTATGTACGGGAGATTGCGCATAAATTGGGGATGTACTTCCACTATGCAATGGCGAACAGTTTGCACTTTCGTTTCCACTGTTAAACACTGACGGCAAGGGGCAATCTGGAGTGCCCATATATCCACCACTATTTCCACCACGGTGAATCTGAACTGCGTTAGGTTCAACAGGAGACAAACACCTTCTTCGATCTTCGTCGGACGCATGTCCATATAAATCCCCACCGTTCTTCTTAGTAGCAATATAGTCTTCGATAGCTGGGACAGCACGCTCGTTACAGTGCCTCTTGGGAACAAGGCATTCGTCAAAGACATTCTTACGTTTGGGAGCACGACGGACCGGAAGTTCGTCTTCCTCAGAGGTAGGATAATCACGATCAGAACCGGAACTACTTGGGGTCGGAGGATGTTGGATAACTTCTTCGTGACGTGATGAAATGTGAGTTTCGTTGTCACTTGCATGCCCGGTCATTCTATGTTGGTGGTGTCCACGAGCACTAGTTCCATTTCCTCCGTTAATTCCCGTGTGCACGTTTCCATTTCCCGCGACAACACCGTTTACACTTCCGTTAGCCAATGCTACTCTCTTCCTTCGTTTTATAACACTTCTCTTCATGGTAACTGGCCGATGTACGCTATGAAGTTTATAGTATAGGCCGCAGGCATTGCAAATAGTATTGCCACCTTCGTCTCGACGCCAAAGCGGAGTGGTATTTGTGCCGCAGTTAGCACAGACAAGTGCTTGCCTATTTACTTGATGTTGGTTATAAGCGGGGCAGCCATTACACGATGACGGTCCGCCTGTTCCGTCACAATGCCCGTCTCCCGGACAGGTACCCGCTGGAAGGATAGGAGATTGGGAAGAAGGTGGTGTGGGTTTTTTGATATTGTTGCGTTTCAGCCACGGTGGACGCACAGTATTGCGGGCTTTCAAGTATAAGCCTAGAAGAAACGAATGATTGATTAAGACAAGGCAATGATTAAATAAAAGATGGACAGGGACAATAATATTGATATTGCACGAATACATGGTAAGCATTTCTACTAAATCAATTTCATAATACTTACCACATGCGTTACAGATAGTCTCTCCAGTAGGAGCTCTTCGCCACAACGGAGTAGTGGTGGTCCCACAGTTCGCACAAACAGTAGCAGATACAGCATGACCTCCTTCTGCCTTACTAGGTTTTTGATGCCTTCTACCAGCGATAGATTGCTGGTTTTGTTGCTGTTGTTGCATCAACTGGTGATGATGGTGATGATGGTTGACCAGCTGTTGTTGCTGTTGGGGATGGTCATCACCTTGTATATTTTGTTGACCTTGTTGATCGTGATGAAGATGGGAGAAACCATCACGATGGCCTCGATGGTGATTATGGTTCTTATTCAGGTTTGGTGAAAGCATATTTAAAGAGCGCTGTTGATGCGATTGGATTCCGGCGTCGGGGTTTTTTTGCTGGATGGAAGGAGCAATGGAGTGATTATGATCTTTCATGCACCAAATAAATGTATGGAATAAGACGAAGGCTTGTTTCTGTAGTGTAAGTAGGTTTTGCTGTAAGTTGTCGTGTGTTTGTGTGTTGGAGAGTATCTCGTAGTGCTGCCGGTGCTGTACAGCCGTTGTGACTTGGAGGATAGTTAATTACTTAGAAAAGTACGGTACTTGTATTGGCTTCTTGCAGTCTAGTTCAGAAAGTCGGGCTTTCTATATGGTAGAGGGCGAGGGTCCTGTCAGTAGTTGCGGGTCTTGCGTATTTTGTCAAAGCAACCCAGTTATGCATTTGACCTATGCAAAAGTAAGCGTTGTTTCTTGATTCCAAAATAATATTTAAATAAAACAATTAATAAGGAACCAAGCTATTATTTAGAGTTAGCCAGGCGTTATGGTATATAGTCTTATGATAGATATGTGAAGCGAAAAAGTAAAAAAGCGAGGTGATTGCTAAGCAATGGAATAAGAGCGCTGTGGAAAGCGTGCTGTCCGTTCTCAACGACTTGGTATCGATAGATGAAAAAAAAAACAAAAGGTGGCACTCGGACTTTTATAGACGATTGTTTGATTGTTGGATTTTGAATGACTAACACATAAATAAATATGTAATATACTGATAAGCCTTGTCGAAGAATAGCTAGAATTGTGACTGTGATAACACAAAAAGGGGAAAGCTACGCCACCACAAAATATACAATAAAAGAACACCACAAAATATACAAGGAGCTATTTTATAATTTTATAATAGAATGTGTGTCATCTCAATATTCCGATATGTTGATAAGTCTCCATCACATGACACCATATCAATATCAAAACAGGTGTATCTTATCTTCGACGACGTGAGTACCCCATGTGAATATGCAGCCTTTACAATAGGCTGATAGTATATAATAATAAACATGTCACTAAATACCCATATATACCCATACTAATGACACTACGTCACCCCTTTTTTGGGGTGTAGTATTAAAGGGGTGAATTAAAAGTGTCCAATCACATATCTGCAGGGGTGAAATACAACAGTAATATAATAATATAATATAAAATACAATACAATACAATACAATAGACTACATTAAATATAAACCCCCCCTCTCATCAAGAGTCTACTATTATCTTAATCTTGGATCGACAACGCCATGAGGAGATATTTTTAGTCATGATAACATCGATCAGTATTGAAAGATCATTGATTTTTTTATCATATGTTTACATGGTTTTTTTATACATCTGCATAATCAAATAATCAGATCCCCTCGTTTAAGGCATTCTATGCTATAATCGCTACCCAAGTATGGAAAACTGCTAACCATAACGATCCCATCAAATGGATGGAAGGCTACGCTGTGGAGATGATATGATGCGTTTGCGACAAACCATAATAAACTTGCATCATTTTCGTACAGCTTTATTTGATAACCTAAATGAATAGTATAGGAATGATCAACGATACGTAGTCATGTAATGTAGAGATAAGCAAGTGTAATTTCAATTTTTACTATTTATTGATTCTATAGTATCTGCATTCCCATCGATAGCTTCCAATGCGAGATAATGCATGATGCACGTGATGGGTAAATAATCAACAAATAATGTAATGGTGATAACAACAAGGTAAGAGCAACATCATCAACCAACAACCCGACAAACTATCTACTATATCGGTGCTTCTTTTTATTTAACATCTGTATCAGTCTCGGGCATATCTTGTCGTACGTTGCCCTTTTTTTTTTTTTAAACTGTAGATTCGCTATAACTAGACTGGGGTAATATGATCAAATATAGCTAGTTTTGCATATTAATAATACTAATTAAATATATTACACAATGTTATTATTTATTTCATTGTATTACTATTTATATGTTATCTATAATAACATTATTTGTCAAGTTTTCCAACACGAATGTTCGATCCCCCATACTCTGCAATTTCCCAACAAGTGTTTTCCCACCACTTTGTATTGCCGCGTGAACCTGCAATTGTGCATATTTCTGTCCGGGGTTATCTGAATGAATAAGATTTAACTGAATATTATATAAGCTACTATTTACATCTAGTCAGTCATCTAGTCAGTCATCCAGTCAGTCATCCGTTTTGCCATCTGCGATAATGCAGACATTGCTAAGCCAAGCTAATTGCAACAAGCAATCAACGCCTTTTCGTCGTGAACATGCAATACTCAACCATCCAATACAATATCATGTTTTATACACACTGTTTACCACTCCACTTTGCAGACTCTATCTAGCATTCCTATCGATGAGATGAGTGGTATCTTTCAGTAATTTGTCCCTCCGTCAATATGTAATTTGTCATTCTTTTTGGCGTATCTTCTGCTATTAAAACACATCTATTCCCACCGAGTGACAATCTTATCGCCAAAGATGGTAGCAACGTAAATAATGCATGTAACTGTGTGTTTGTCCTGATGTACTATTACATAATGTGCTCAATAACCCCACTCCATCTCGTATACTCCAATCAAATTGTACACGATAACTCCGCGTTTTCCGCCCTAAATTAAGAAGTTTCTCTTTGTCATTGAATTCTTATCTGATATCACTCCTTTGTTTAATTATAGGTATTTGTGACTCCATTATTACAACCAGTATACATTCGAACATTGAATAAACAGGCAGCACGCAAGATAATAATATGATGTACCCTTGGTTATGTTACGTAGCTCGGCTTTTTTGCTCGTTACACTGCACGTGCTGCGTCTTCTGGATGTTAAGAGTTTATTGTATTAGATTTTCGGTTGAAGTTCTTATCGTCGCTACACTATTGGTTCCGGCTTTGGAGTCATGAACATATAAGTAAACAAATAAGATCTTTGTGAGCAGAAAGGACGAAGCAAATTAAACTTTTTGTATCTTATTAAAAATATCAACAGCCTTGCTGTAATTAAAATGTAAACCTGGTGCAGATAAGCCACCGTTGTTTCAGAAAAGTAGACAAAAGCCCGACAAAGGGACGTCGGAGTTGTGGTTCAGCATGGCTGATGGCACAGTTAATATCATGTAATTCTGTATCACAATTTGTAATTATTCTGATTACCATATCGGGACGATAAGGCATTTGATGCTTGATAATCAGATAAATACGTAAACCTGGCTAGCTCAATTTTTTTTGAGATTATCAAAGGATAGAAAATCATCTTTTAAATTTGGGCCATTAAAAGGTTTAATCAATATTGGCTTAGAAACATTTCGTGAGAAGTTGTAATAACCAACTTATCCGATAATAACGTTTGGAAATAGACATCTGTTTCTATTAGAGATCAATACGTAACAGTTAAGATTTTCCTAATCCGTTCTTCGTATTGGCTCTTCATTAGCAAGAAGTAGGTTATGGGTTTGACCGAATTTCGCCAACGTTACGCATAACACAATACTAATTAAATCTATATGAAAGAAGTTATGCATAATATCTTGTTACAAAATATTGGTATAATTAATAATTAATAATTAATAAATGAATAGCTTTCAAGTTTATCGAGTCCGACATTGACAGTATGTGTAGGGGTGACCGAGGATATAGTAAAGAAGCTATTTCATCAAGTACGAAGAATCCTCGCAAATCAAGATCGAATTGGTTAATAATCACAATTTTGAAGAAATTCTTGATGTAGATACCCTTTCCCAATCACAGCCTTAATTCAATCTTGCAAACTGCTGTGCCTACTTCTATGATTTTACCATCTTCATGCATAAAGCATACCGTTAGCAACGAGCGTAACATCTACTCTGGAATCGCCAATGTCTATCTTACAACATTGCTTCCGCCTCAAAAAAAATTTTTTTTGGTGACATAACTGTCATTATGCTTTTACCTTTGATACTAACATTAAGGTTTGCGTGCGCTAATAATTCCTTATTTATCCGTCTCCTTTCCCGTGATAACATTTCATGCTTATCCGGGATATATTATTTCCCGAGAGGATGATCTACAAAAAGTGATCGTAAAACCTTTTTGATTATCGGAAAAGCTGACCAATATAGTCGATGATAGTGTAATGGTCACGATTTATCGCGTTGATATGTGGTTAGTGTCATAAGTAATTAGTGTAATAGAGCAAGAATCTGGGAACCTCCGACGGTACTACAGTTAAGCCTAATACTAGTGGTAATGATAAGAGTTTGCCCAAAATCCATGCACAAAGTCTACCAAGTCAACAACATCCTGATTCATGTGTTTTTTACATTTCAGGCAATTCTCGATAAATCCATCATAATTTGTGTCCCATATCATTTGAATTATAAATAAACGTCATATACGAAGTCACAAGCATGTCGTGTTACATGGACAAAATATCATGTAACATTATGTAAGGCTATGTATGAGTCATAAACCCCTTTTCAAATAAATAGCAATGTTTCATAAGGGCTTTTTTGGTTTTGCGCTTTACAATCAATCACTTGTCGTTCCCCCGTCCCCAGTTTTTCTAGTTCTTTCGATTATGACAATAAGCAGTGTAACATATGACGTAACAAGGCGAAAAGTGCCCGAGTTTGTGATTGCAGATCGTATGTATGTGGTGAAGTTCAATGACTCTCAAGTGACCTCTGTGCGACAAATTTCTCTTTATGAAGTAACAAAAAGAAGCAGGGGGTTCGACGATAAATGACATTGTTGTTGAATGAAACACCAACTAGTTTTGACATTCTAGACCTGCTGGCGGATAACTAGTTGGCGATGGAGATGATGTATTTTCGATACTCTTGGCAATATAGACATCATGTGATTTTTTGGTAATGGTTGCTTAATTTGGTTTGTCATATCTTGCTTGACAAGCTTATTATTTACATGCATGTTTATGGTAAAGCGTCTATCCTTCCAAATATATCGCACACCTTATCACGATATGTTCCGGGGGCGGAGTACGAGGGTGACAGTGGGAATGTGTAACCGATGTTTATGATTATCTACAAGAAAAAGATAAGATAATGCTTGTTAATCGCTTTCAAACTTGTACGACTTTGGATGAAGGCGTAAATGAGGGAAAAATTTAGTTGCACATATGGAGTAGATAAGATCTTGGGATGTGATAATAGGAAATCTCCCGTTATTGTGTCAATTCTAAAAATATGGCGTGAGTACAAATCAATAGTAGTCAGTCAACAGATGAGTACTAATAAACCAAAACGACCAATCACAGCCATCATAACGGGAAAACTACACTCTTCTGTTGTGGCTTAAACACATGATAAAGGCTTCATTATCATATACACACCCATCGCAGGTCAAGATCGACAAATAATGTGAACCAATTTGAAACGTGCTGTCGTTTCTTTCTCTCGAATAGTATTCGCAACCTTTATCTTGCAAAAATAAACAAAAACATTATGACTAACTGGATTCACACGGACAATTAGTGTGTATCTGATACTACTTGTGCAATTTAGAAATAACCAGTATTCCTTTCAGAATGCCAAAAAGCAATTTTGCGAAAAAGGTGTCTGCGTAAACATACTTATGAAAGTAGAAAACGCTCTTTAGAGTGCTGTAAAAAGAAACAAATTTGGTCTTATACACGCTAGGGCAAACATGTATGATGGCTTTTGGAAAAGGAAAAGCCTTACAGTGATGTCAACTTCTGGGATGCGTATATTTTAAGTCATTAAGCGCTTGCGTTCGAACTGCTAAAAACGCGCACTAGCGATGACGATTTCGAAAAGAAAAAAAAATCCGAGTTAGCGCGCAATGTTAAACGCGCAAAGTTAAGTACGTTAAATGCCCACAACTTGATCTTCGTGCATATGTTTGTAAGTGAAATAGCCAATATTTATTATGTCATGCCTATGTTATTCTATGCCCGGTATGCTCTAGATGAGAGTTTGTAATTTCAAATTGGACTCTACATTCTTGAAAAGCAAATTGTAAAAGATCGTAACTTACTATCATCAATACTGAGCGTCACACAAGCCCAGAAGCTCTCTATGTTGAACTAAGGTCGTATGGTAATAATACGGCGAAGACTGCATAACAATCAATCTGTATGTACAGTATTCCTTTTGAATAGTCGCTCCGTGAGTCTGCCATATTATACGTGATTACATGCTATGCTGTCTTGAGTAACTAGGCTTTGAGGTAGACTTGCACAAGTCCATCTCTATTTTTCATTAAACCGGTCGTGCACTGGACAAAGGGCGTGTTTTGTGATCGAGGATACCTGCTCACTTGGTCCGAGCGGGCAAAGATACAGTATCTCTTGCTATATTTGATAAAGAGAGAATCTGTCACTCGTATTACAGTCTCTAATGATATTTGTTGTGCACACCGAGCTATGTTTTGAAAACGAAACTCCGCCATAAGGGTTCAGTTACTCCATTGATTGCGTTGTTGCAGCTTCGTCCTTGCTTTGACGATGTACTGCATTTATTAACTTATTCGTTGTAATCATGCTGACTGGAGTCATTTGGAATGCCCACTTAATATATAGTATATCAAACTTGCATTCGAGTATACAAGCTGTTACTTAAAATTTCGTAACACAAATGCAGATTCCCCACCATAGAGTAAGAAAGGCAAGCAGGCGAGAGCTTTCTCTCGCTCCCACGAATGGTTTGAAAGCGGATTGGATCATTGTTTTTCGATGTTTGCAGTGGGTGATTCGCGATCTGTAATTCGCTAGTCACACAACGCAACACGTTGTCTGAGATTAGATCGATTCGACTATTTGTCGTTGGGCACATCTATCGTTGAAGGTAGTTTTGAACATATAATTTTAGCTTGAAAACTACGCTGTCTGTCAATCTGTTTATTCTTCGTATATTGTTCAGCGAGATATGGAAAGTTGGATATGTAGAGTTGGTGGGTCTTTTATTGGACACAACTACGAGGCCGCTAAAGCGGCTATAGAATGAACTGGTAAAATGATGAGCATTGTATTTGATATGATAAGATCGCATCCTTAAATACAGTTACCTGAATTAAATGCTAAGAACTGTTTAGTAATAATAAACGAGTCTGTATTCTTTAAAATAAATATAGACATAAAAAAAAGTCTTACGTAAGTTAAATGATAACTCTGCGATTGCGAAGTGTTTCTTATTGGGTTAGTTGCACTCAATGTTAATAAAAAAATATATATATAGAAAAAGAATTGGATTTAATAAGACATTTTGTGTGAAAGAGTTTTGCCATACCTCTATAGAACCTGATTTTAACCTACAGAAAGTTTCTGGACAATGCTTAAAATATTAAGATTGTTGCTACATGAAAAAAGGTATCAAAAAAGTCTTTATAGATAGCATGCCAATATATTAAAATTTATCAAGATAGAAGGAGGGCACAACTACAGTTTCTAGTAAAAAATGCAGTTGTTTTCTTTCTTGTGATTGTCGAATTATATAATAAGGCTTAAAAATTCTATTATTATTTCAAAAACACTTTTGAGTAAGGCAATGTGGATCTAATATTTCTTAATCATTTCAATTTAGTAAAATCAAATTATACACAATCTGACTGTAAAGAGTTTAATGTTCTGAAATAAAGTTTTCTCGTTACCTTTTACAATTTATCACATGATGTTAATTTTAATTACTGTAGATCCCATAAATTATTAAAGGGATTTATTCGAACTGCCTATATTCGAGTTATAATAAGGTCATATTTTGGCCGAATTATGGGGGTGAAGAGGTAGTTATTTCATGATGTTACGGGCCTTATTCATATTAGATTTTTTTCATATAAGAGACTGTATAATTGCTTTAGCAAAAAAAAAAAATTAGCATGACAATAAAACCATTACTGACTTTTTTTTCTTAGGACTGTACACTACCCGGACAAAAGTCTTGCGCATCGAAAAAAATTTAATTACACAAAATTATACATAATAATAATATGTCAAATTTTAATATAACGTTGTTTTGGTTTGGACAAACGCGTGTATAATTTTTGTGTTTGTAAACACACATCAGAATATATAAATAAATCCGCAATAACTTCTAACTTTTATTGATCTGCCCATTAGTAAAAGTAGACGGTAAAATGAATAGATTTGACTACATACAAATACTTAAAAAGCATTTATTGGTTTCAAGATGATAATGCTCCAGTTCATACTGCTGAAGATGTTAAGAAATGGATTTTAATGAACAAAATCAAAGTCTTACCAGGATTGGCCAAGTCAGTCTCCTGGCTTGAATTCAATTGAGCATTTATGGTCGGAGCTGGAAAGAAGAATAAGAAGCAAACCACAGGCAATAACAAATTTTGCAGAATTAGAATAGAAAGTATGCCACGGAGAATAGAAGCTGTTATTGCAAACAATGGGTGGCCAAGAAAATACTAATTTATATAGTAATAGTTACTTCATTGGTCAAAGTATTATCTGTTAAAATTTGAAACGTAATTATTATGTATAATTTTTTGTAATTAAAATTTTTTGATATGCAAGACTTTTGTCCGGGTAGTATGTATTAAGTTTTTTAAAATACAATAAATATAAAATTTAAAACAGGGTTATTCGTAAGCTAATTTATCAAGCTTAATGAAATTACCATACACGTTGGAGACCAGTACAAGTGGAAAAGTTATTATTGTCTAACACTATTGTATAATATTATAAATTATCTTCCAACGGATGATAATAAGGAATTCTATAGAATAAGAGTTCTTTTAAAATTATCTAATTATGTAATTTCCAGAGCAGAGCGTGCAAAATTTAATATTAATTTAGTAAGATAAAAATTATATTGGCTAATTTCAAACGCGTTTCAATATGTAACAACGTTGATACTGCATTATTCCAAAAATCTTGGATCGAGCGCACCATGATATTATTTTATGTAAAAAAAATTGTTAGCGTTATTGTTATTTTCCGTCAATACTTTATTTCCAATGTCTTTTCTCGCTTTCTTATAGGTAATCCAATGGTAGATGTGATTACTACCTTCTTGATTCTGTTGTGTCTGAGTCGGGGTGTCTCAGTTCGGAACCCAGTCACGCAATCCAAAACTGTTGTCTCATACTCAGTTCCGAACCCAGACACACTCAGTTGTCTCAGTCCAGAACTCCCCAGCTGAGGTACAACAATTCTCTAAGCGATTATTCTGTATAAATTGTTCAGTGTTATTTATTGGACAACGCATTCAACATTTTTTTCCCCATAAAGCTAACTTAGACACGTAAGGCATCTGTATAGAATAAAAATGTGAGTACAATAGGCAATCTTTATAATAAACATCGTGTAAGGTTATTTTATAAAATAATGTACAGTATATGTTAAGGTCAACGGATGCGCTTGATATAATCTTGTTAAAGACAAACATGCAATTAATTTATGTATACAGTAGCGAAAAACGCTCGCCTGTAATTTGTGACAAATAAAATCCAGCCTTTTCCTTAGTAATTATTCAACCTCGACAAGGAATGAATTGAAAAACGAACGACCAGTGAATGCAACGAGCGACTGGGTGACGCAGACGAGACAATGGAGGATGCATTGCGTGCTAATCTAGAAAAATATAATCATCGTGACATGTTTAAAAAGGAGATTGGATTAAAATAAAACTTTAGATGGTTCTTTCGTTACAATGTTAACCTTTTTCTTTCTTGATGCAGTAGCAAGAATCTCACACAAGCTCAGGAATCATCCAAGTCAAACAGAGTTGTTTTTCGTTTTAATCCGATTTCGTATTAATTGACCATGATTATTGTTTACGAATATGTTATATCTCATATAGTATGAATGTTTACACTACAAGTCTCGCAGATGTTGTGTAACTGCGCTTAAGTGGGTCAGGTGATTTGAAGGAAGAAAGGGGATTTCGTACGTTTTTTCATTCTTTAGTCAATAATCGCCAACGAATAACAAACTAAATGAAGGAAATGAATGTTCTGTTCAATCGCAGGTTTCATTAAGAAATCCTTGGGGAGGGGCACACACAACAAAAAAAAAAAAAAAAAAAACTCTCAAAACCAACCGAATATATGACAGATTGTTTAACGAGTTTAAAACAAGTTCAGAGACCAATTGACAACGTTCGTCTATCCGAGATGTACTTACTGCATGTGTGTTATGATCATATGATTGATTTAAGTACACAAAATCACGTCATTTGAGCGATGAGTAGATCTTCCACACATATTCAGAGCGACGATCCCAGATTAAACGCAATAACATAATAGTAAACGAAGTTAACATATCAACATAACTATCTCTAGGTATTCAAGCATTCACATAGTTAATACACTTGTTTAAGAATCCATGCAAAAGGTTTGAGACTGCAGGCCAAGACGCAATAATCCGTTATATAAATATGCGACTTACAATCATTGTTCTGAATGACTAGTGTTGTATGAACGAGATTTGACACTGCGTTAAAATCTAACATTAGTGACAATAATAAACCGCGAAATTTGTAATTATGGCACGCGATTTGTTTACTGCCAGCATTTATGTGAGCGCGACGTAGTTCTTTTTTTGTTGAATAAAAATCCCCTCGCGATAGTAGTGTGTTTTGTTTTTTTGCTGAGGCTGCTGGGGTAGTTCAAAAACGACGATAACTAAACGTGTGAGGCCCCTATTGGAGGTAGCTCTCTCTAGCCTGACCGCACCATCTGCATTGTTTTTGTTGCTGTCAGTTGACAGGCGGAATCCGAGTGAGTGAAATGGGTGGAGAGTTACGAGCCCTCCTTCGTCGTCATTTTCCGCGGGACGGACAAGATGGCCTCTGGAACGCATTATCATTTATCTCATAGGAGCACAAGTTTATTAATTATGTCGAACCAACAGTTTTTACTAATGCAGCCTTGGAAAAGAAGGTGGAAAAATATGCTTTGGATAACTTTACTGAAATTAAAACAGTTTGCGTTAATTATAATATTAATATGGGCGTGAAACTGTAATGTCTTGAAATGCGTTAACGTAAATAGTCTGTTGGATTCATACACTGCAACATGGAAGCAGCATGTTAAAAATTGAAGACTCTTATGTTCGATGTCTATATATGACGTATAAGATAACATTAAACTTTAGTACATCTGGTATTCCGCAACTGTTTCTTTATCTTTTCGGGATTCGAAAATGGATTAGCTTACTTCAGATCGTTTTTATCGTTACCATTTTATTATGCAAATGTCAATAAAATTTACATCATTTTGAAGCTAATTGAAGAAAATGATATACCAAGCATTGGATCAAATGACTGACAAACGTGAACTTACTGAATTTGAGCGTGGTGAAATAATTGAAAGTTGGAAGTATGGTGTCAAAATAGTTGAAGGGTTATTATGGAAGAGTTGCTAAGAAAAAACCCTTGGTCACCGAGCCTAATCGCAAAAAACGTCTTGCTTGGTGTCGAATAAGAAAAGAATGGCATAATTAATGGAATATGGTTATATTTATAACAAGGGTTGTTTACGGCCCACTATGAAAAAGTCCGATGGAATAATGGTGTGGGGTTGTTTTTGTAGAGGTATGATAGGGCCATTAATTAGTCTTAGTTGAAGGCGGAATAACAGCAGAGAAATACTTTCCGACCATCTTATACCATTTCTCAATAGTAATAGTATTGATATCTTTTTCAGGATGACAACGCTCCAGCGCTTACACAGCGAGGTCAACATCATCCGTGTTACTGGATTCTTCCATAATCAATAAGTCCAATGACTTGTTGCCCGTAGTCCAATTCCCAGTCTTGGTGCTTTACTACTACAGCTGAAGCAGAATGCATTTATCTTAGGTCTGAGTTGCTTTATTCATGCTAGACATAATCCATTGTCAACTTTTACGAGACAATACGTGAATCCGATGGTAACACAGGCATTCACGGCAAGAATAGAAACTGTATATTTGCGAACAATGTTATTACAATGTAATTGCGATGTCTTAATAATGTCAAAAAGATCTTGTTAAAACCTAGTTACGATTCATTGTAAGAACATTGATTTAGAGTTGTGAAAGCATTGTATTGTATAGCATTGACAAAGGCTATTATAATGTTTGTGTAAGCTTGCAAAATATAGTAACAAAGATTTATGTGCAACCTAGTTACAATGCAGCGTTATTTAGGATGGTAAAAGCGTAATGTGCTGGGTTTCGAGCTAGGACCGATGCTGACATGCTGTTATTTACCTTCGTAATAATAGATAAGATAATAGTAATGGTAATCATGACTGATTTTCAAGTGTCCTGGCGTTCACTTCGCACTATGTGAACCGTGGGTTTTTGACAAGATTTAGAACTACTAGTGTCTGGCAATAATTATTTGCTTTAATCTATGTCATAAAGCGTTTAGAATAAATAGAGATATAATATTGGCAAAGCAAGAATACGAATTATTTATTCCAAATGGCTAAATATGTATTGGTATCACCCAAATTTACTGCAATAACAAAAACGCGCTCTTTACTGACGGCAGGATATTAGTGCCCCTTTCGTTTATTTTTAGTAACACCGAATCTCATACTAAGAACAGTTAATTAAGCTCGTACTATCAATCTCCCCGAAATCAATCCAATCTATCGTTTATATTTACTTTATTTCTACGGCGTTAGTTTGCAATTTAAATAGAGATATCACACTTTAATAAATATGTAATGAATGAAATGATGGAAAACAGAGATGAACGTCCTAAGCACAAAAAAATATATATATTAAAGCGCATTTTTTCGAGTTAAATCATCGAATCTCTTAAATGTATAACCAACAAACGCAAGATCTTTCTGGTTGACTTCTGCTGTATCTGATGGAACTGTGAAAAAAGAAAAAATATATTGTTATTAGTGACAAAGAGAGAGAGAAAACGCAAAATCAGGAGCCTTCCCGAGCTATATATAATACTCTTCATGCGTTTCTCTCCTACTCACCGCTCACAGGAGGCTGTTCGGGAACCTTGTCCAAATCTTCTGTCGGGAAATAACTGGTATCAGTAATCGATGTCAACTGTGGTACAAACGGAGCCTCTATCTGACGAATTGTGTCCCAGTTGACTCCTGCAAAGAACGGATGTGATTTGATTTCATCTGCTCCATGACGCCCTAGTCGCTGTTCTGGGGAGGTGATCAGTCTGAGTAGACGCAAAGTAATTGAGAAAACAGCGTGATGTTAGACGTAAGTGATATCTCCAAACTCTTTTTCTCTCATGTTCAATACTCTCCATACCTTCTTATCAAATCCTCGGCTTCATTACTCAAATGAACGTCATCTGGGAAGTACAGTTGTTCTCTCCAGTTGACAATCTTTCTATAAGTTTCATGAGCATTCTCACTGCAAAATGGTGGGTATCCAACAAGACACTCAAACATTATAGCTCCCAAAGACCACCAATCACATTCTTTTCCGTATCCCTGTTGTCGGAAGATCTCTGGTGCAATATAGTCTGGTGTTCCCACTGTTGAAAAAGCCTACGTTGAACGTGAGTTAATATTAGTTGCAGAGTTCAATGATGAGACAGTAGTCATACAGACCAGCGAAAGGAAATAGAATTGATAATTGGAAATAATAATCGTATGGATTATGAACTTAGTATCCTCCGCTCTTCCTTTACGACATAATGCCCCTTCAAATATCTTACCAAATTCCTCCTGTTCTTCTTCCATGTAGCGATACGATCTTTGCTCGACAAAGTCAGATTAATATTATGTTCACTTCCTAACTGTCTATGTCCATTTGGCCCACTATAAGATCCATCCAGCAAACATTGGTAGTATGCAGAATCATGTGTTTTATGAAAGCCAGTAGATAAACCAAAATCCGATAATTTAATGTGTCCCCTTTTGTCAATTAAAATATTGTCCGGTTTGATGTCGCTAGATGAATGAGTAAAATAGCACAGGGAAGATTAAAAATAGACCGAATAGAAAAACATTTTGCCCATCAATTACGTCGCCTTTTATCAACAACATTTTGCCCGTCACTCCGCGATGTTTTCATGTCTAATCATTATCATAATACTTCTACTACAAATATGGTCGTCTTTGTAATCCTAATAATATCCCCATTTTCTTTCTACCGCATTAACCCCATGCTTACCGATGGATAAAATGCAGCCTATGAATAGCGTCGATAGCCAAAACACATTCCGCAATATAAAATCTTGTTACGTCCTCCGAGAAGGTATCATATTTAATCAACATTGTCATTAAATCGCCACCGGGCAAGAATTCCATGATAAGGTATAGATATTGGGCGTCTTGAAAGGAGTAGAAAAGTTGTACTACCCAAGGAGAATCAGACTCGGCCAACACATCGCGCTCGGCACGAACGTGGGCAAGCTGAATCGATAGATAAAGGCAATATAATTGTAAATGACTGTTCAAGCACAACATAAAGGTTTTAACAAATCGAGAGGGAAAAAAATGGGACATAGTTTCCCGTTCATTGTTTTACCTGATCTTTTTTGAACATTTCGGCTTTCCGTAGTGTTTTCATTGCATATATTTTACCGGTATCTGTTTTTTGCGCCAATCGAACCTAGATTTTATTTGCAGAAAAAGTTACTAGATGATTCGCATGAAATGACTGATATAGATGCTAGCATCAATAAAGTTGTAAACAACGGGATGTAAATAGTACACTACAAAGCATAGATTAAAGTTCTACCTGAATACTAAAACAATGGAATGTCTAACTGTTTTTATTTACAGTTGGCTTTCTTATTTATTCATCGTATGACGTAGAATTGCCAACTATAAATAAACGAAAGGGGACGCTTTCTCTATGACAGACTCTTCTCTTTCACCAAGCCAACACATACCTCACCAAAAGCTCCCTTGCCAATGACTTTGAGAGTGACAAAATCTTCCAAGCCAAGTCGCGTTCTTCTCAGTCGTAAAAATTGCGCCTCTTTCCTACCGTATTGACTGCGCTGTCTATTCTTTCTCTCTTCAGAACAATTTTCATTCTCCAGCCGGTGTTCTAGTTCATCGAGTCTATGCATATATTGGAATTAAATAGACAAGTATGTTTAGTGTTTTCATGTACAAAAGTCGTCGTGATTTGTGCCGTTGAGCAAGTGTAAGCAGGTTTGTAAGCAGGTAACATGTTGAGCAGAGAGAGAGAGAAGGAAGAAACGGGTAACACGCGTTAGGAATTCGTATTTACGGCATATGCATCTTATTCATAACGGAGTTCTGTTTTGGGGGTGTTTCCCTTCTCTCAACTCATCGCAATCAACAGCGGTTCCTTTCGCTCACAGTAACAGCCGGTTTAATACTTCAATTCTACACTTCTCATCCCTAAATCTATTTCAAATCTCCCTTTGCAATACCTCTTCTTTCTCTCTTGGGCTTGCTCGACTATTACTTTGTAGTAGTGCTGTAGCTTCAACTTGGCAGCGGTACTTTTATCTAGCGTCTGCTTTGAGTATCCGACGGTGGACCTCTCGAAGAACAGGTAATCAGCATGGCCGTTGTTCGGTGATCCAGAGTGTGTGTATGCAATCGAGTCGTGTTCAGACATGATGCAAGTTGTAAATGAGGGCACGTAGAGTGGGAAGGCGTTAAAAGAACAGCTAGAGAGTAATGACTATGATATGGGCCAGTCGTTTAATGTATTTATGAAGTTTTTTGAACAGTTGTATTGTATTCGAACCCTAAAGTATATGTGTAAGAGTCTATTAATATTGGATACTATTTTTTTTGTGTTATAGGTGTATTTAAATTGTTAAACTGTTCTGGTGCAAAGAACGAGATTATTGGTCAAGAGTTTGTTGAATAAACATACACATATTTATATATTTCGATTTGAATCCAATTTAATTTCTTGGGGGTGGATGGTGGTGGGGGGATAAGAAAAATGGAGTAATATGAATATGAATATTCTGTCAATGTTATATGATGAAGGCTATATACTATGTATGGATTATTGTCAATATCAGCATAGTTGTTATCGAGTTCATACTAAATGTTTTTTTTTTTGAGAACATATCTCATCTTTGCCGTATTGGATTGTCCAGTGCGCAAATTAGAAAGTAATCGATCTAATTCATCAATATATGCAACTAGCCTATTGGGTTTCAGATGCACATTTCCAACGTATTCGACGTTCGATATTCCCTTGTGTGTATTTTCTTGTTTCCACTGTGTTACCTGAAAAACGATTTTAAGGTTACACGTGGGCCACGCGAAGTGTGTGACCCATGAAACTGAAGTTGATATGCATTGTACCAATCCTCCAAAGCTACGCAAGTGAATTAGCCAACAGCATACGCAACAACACCCACGGCGTCTTCCAATCCACAAAGTGCCTATAAACCCATTTCAGTATATTCAGCCTTTCGCACTGTCCCCGTCCTCCGCTTATTCTTTATACCGTCGATCAAATGATATCGATGATCATTGTTTCACAACGGCGCAAGGCACGTTCTGTGTGTCATTCGTCGCATACTTTTCCGTATGAAGGAAAAACAAAGAAAAGACCAATTCATCAACACTCGGACAGACTCTTTTGGAAAGGAAGCAAACCTTCCTCGTCATATTCAGTAAGTGGGCTCTTCTCGACAGAGGCCACTGGTAGTCGAAACACAATTTAAATGATGTTTGTACAATAGTGTTGGCATCAATTTTTAATTAATTCAATTGCTGATCCGGCCTGCTTGCGTTATCGTTATCGGGCTTGATCCTTAACCTTATTTGGCCCGTAAGCTAACTAATAAACTCCCTTCCCCCCCCCCCCCATTAAATGAAAATTCCATTTATGTACTGTATATTGTCGAGTGCGAGTAAAGGAAAAGAACCGGTTTTTTATGAGAACAAGAAAGAAATGGGTGCAATAAAGTTTATATACCCGGCCGTTGTGTATTTCGCTGCCCACAAATATTTCAGGGGTCGTAATAGAAAACACTTGTCTTACACACACCAATTTCGTATAGTGAAATGAGAACCCGGAATAAAATATCGGGTGTTGAGTAGCGTTTCATGTTTTCGTGATTGATAACAAAGCATAGTAGATTAATTATCTATGAACTCCTATCTTTAAGCAATTAATAAGGGCGGAATTCTCGTTTATTTGGGCGAGGAAGTTATTTGGAATTCGTTTTATTTATCCGTAGTATTTGGCTTCCTTCAGCCTCAGAAGGTTCATGAAATCCGGGCAATATTTGTACCGACAAAAAATGGCAAAATCAACGATCCGGTTTCTGACTGTATGGGTAACTCGAACCTACAGTCTTTTAAACCTGTTTCTTCGGCCGCTCTGTTGCTATCATAGATGGTATTACCTTATCATCTTTATATTTGAACCGTTCCTTCGTCACTTCTGTAAGTTTATTTTTAAGTTTATAATTTGGACGTATCACGGCTTTCTTTCGCCAAGTGGTTTTCGAATCACATTTCGTTAAAAAAAGGAAAATTTTGAGGTCCCAAGTTTGATGCATGCGTATTATCCGAATATATCACGTAAATTCCTGACTCGAAACACATGTTAATATGTAGGTACAGTATTCTCGTCATTAGAATTATTATCCCGCAGTAGGAAGTTTAGCTCTACCGAAATATGTAGTCGAACTATATAAAACTAATAACCTCGTTAGCGTAAAATGCATCACTGTCGAATGTAGGAATATAGTCTTTTCTTCACCCGTTCAGTCTACAATTTCTATCTAACCACCGGCCATTGCTGGACTTGCAGCGTCGAAAAATAAATTATTTTGCGACCGAAGAATGCGATCACATCCTAAAAAAAAGGGAGGGAGGAGAGTATACTGTATGCAAGCATTAATTGGAGGCCAAAGGATCTAGTACCAAGGGCGAGAAACAAGGTCTTTCTCCAATATGAAGGAGAAAAAGGTTGATTTGATCTGTTGAAGAGTGGGAGTGTTTTCATGGCAAAAGGCCTCACTTTGTGTCAGACAATCGGGTGGCATGGAGGGTAGCAGTTTGAAATGTGCACGGCAAGATAGTTGAGACGCACGTCTGCAGTTTTCTTACAAATGACATCTTACGGGTTACTGTGTTATAATCCAAGTATGCCAATAATTTATGTAGTTGACGGATGGCAGGTGGATTTTTAAGCCAAATGCTTCTTTAGAAACTCATCTTTATAACGCATCTCGTCAGAAATTGAAACGTATCGCAGATTGATTGGCTAACAAGTCAGCAGCATTCTGAAATTGCTGGCTGCTCTTACAGTCAAAATAACCGGGTTGCGACTTCCACTCGCTGTCCGCATCATCTTCCTGATTCCTCTGACTCTTTTACTGGAACGCTGAGTAAACGTTACGCCAACACAGAAAAAGTTTTTGCAAAGATTCTATTATGTGGGCACACACTGCTATTTTTTAATCAGGGTTTTTCTTAAAAACTCTCCCTTCTTGCGTAATTCTCACTATTACAGTGTGAAATACTGTTTAATATTAATAGATCTGTTTAACGGATTCGGAGTGATATAAATGCTCTAACGAAATACTCACAGAATGGTTAGATCGGATTTGACCGTGTGTTACCTCAATATTAATAATTATGACAAAATTAATGTGATTATTCTCATGCAAGTAATTTATTGAGAAAAAAAGTCCCTGTGTATACAGTCAACTCTGTCTATACCGGCCTTTTTAATACCGGTTTCGCCTTATACCGGTCCAATTTCGCTGCACCAAAAGATAATACATTAATCTCACCCCTTATAACGGCTGAATCATATACCGGTCTCTCGTTATAGCGGCTAAAAATCGCCAAACCACTCGCGCCGGTATAGACAGAGTTGACTGTGTTTAAAATTGTATAATGACTATAAAACTTTGCTAGCTAGAGCACTAAATAGTACGGTTCCGGTTTACAAAATTGTCAAGTTTTATCAACTGAACCGAAGAGGAAAAAAAATTAGACTCTTGGCTGATTTACTGTCTACAACGAATGTAATCCCGACAACCCAACCCCCCCCCCCCCCTGCAAGGCTGTTGACTATCCCAGACAAAGGCTATGACAAGTATGGACCAATCTTAACATTGGTCACAATAAATTACGGTTTGTATAACATCACAACTTTCTTTTTACGACGGCTATACATCGTTCGCCTGCAGGGGGTAAGCAAGCATTCGGGACTGCTTTCTTCGTCACTTCCCTTTGTAAATTAGTGAGATGAGTAAGGTTGCAATAGGTTCAATGATTTAATCCATTTTATTTGTCATACACAGCAGTTGACTTGTCAACGCGATCTGGAAAATTGTTATTCCTTTTATTAATTATTATCTTTTTTTCGGTTTATTATTAACAAATTTATAGATCTCTGTAAGGAAATATATCTTTTCTACTCAATGAAATGCTAGCACTATCAAGAATAAATATAAGGAGAGAAAAAAAAAATCACCGGAAAACTAGCCTGTTTACTGTTGTACTCACTAGACCAAGCTGCTTTCATACTGGGCGGTTCTTACTGGTGAACACAAGCATAGTTGGATGTTAATGGTTTTACATGAAAAAATTTTAAGGTTAAAATTTGCCATACTAATATAGTCATACTAATACCTCTTTTGTATCCCCAACCTTTAATACCCCACCCTCTGTGAAGCGGGACGGATTTCCTCTATTGTATTTGGTATAAATTTACCTCATTTGTATCCCCTTCCTATACCCAATATTTTGCTGTCCCAAATTCCTATATCATATAGTGATCCATTAATATCATACATCCCCTATTCACTATATTACACAAAACTGACATGTCATTTCGATTTTTACATTCTGGACAAAGTTTGTTACATTTCTCCAAGCAAAAAATATCAAACCGTGCTGAAAGGCGATCGGGTCATAAACACAGACAACGTTTAAGCCAAAATCATAGTTCTCAACTATATATAAAAGCGTGCATTGCTTAACCTTCCCGATATTAAAAAATAAATCCTTATTGAATTAATCATTAAAATCAATTTTAGTATAGATGGTTCCGCAAACATGTTGAAGAAGAAGACAAGTGACGAGGAGGAAACAATTATTTCTGTGCGAATGGAAGACAGGTACTTGATATAGTTAAAAAGTTTTTAGAACAAAGAGATTTTACAACAGAAAATAATGTTAAATATATACGCAATATAATTCGACGCTTAGATGAGCCCAGCAGCCAAACTTTATTAATCGAATTTATTAACCAATAGAATTGCATGTTTTAAACGAATGATTTATGCACGTCATTTGTATCCCACCTCAGATATATCCTCCGTCCCAAAGGGGGGATATAAACGAGGTATGACCGTACTTATGACACTAATAATAATTAACTATAATTAACAGCCATATTGGGTTCGGACAGATTTCTGGATCGTAAAGAAACTAATATTTACTCGGTTAAATTTGTACTACACTTATATATGTCATTAAATGTGTACTCATCCAAGTATGATACAGCAGTTAATATTAAACAAACAATAAATTGTTTCCTGTAAGCACCATGTACAGTATTTAAGATAATAACCAGTACGTCTCGATTAACAGTCTTCATGCACAATAACCATTCTCTTGTTTTTCGAACGAATTGTTGAGACAGTGAAGCGAACAAATAAATTAATAGAAATACTCAAACATCATTAATTATTTTGCAGGGGGTTATGATCTCGAATAAATAAATTCTTTAAAGTGCAAAAGCTGTTAGAAGTACTTGTTTCAACAAAGTTTATTTAATGTCGCGGCTGATGAAGCTGAAACTAACCAATGGGGTTAGAGAATAGAATCTGATCAACCAATGAAAGATCATTTATTAAATAATTGCCTAGTAATGCAAACTTTAGGCTGTCAATTATGTTTTCAATTAGTTGTATTTTCGCCATAAAGGTGGGGGAGAAAGACAATAAGATTTAAGCACATCATTAATGATTAATAGTACTTGACCCCGCAACCATCCAAATAATTTATACGTGCGCTAGTTTGTCATAAACTTGTTCATGCATCTAGCCTTTGCGTTTGGTGTTAACTTTTTTTAAACAAAGAACGATTATGTTGTCAGTTTAACCCAATCTTTTGCACTGCTAACATTTTGTTGTATCCAAATTTGATTATCAACAAGGTTATCTCGTTGCTCATAAAATGCCAACAACTTTCCATCCTGCTATTGACATATGTGGTTAAAATGCTAACCGGTGTATGTGTTTCACAAGATATTTATTGATCAGCAAAAACTTTTAGCAACTTGGGAAGTGAAAAATCTTTTTAATCACGACAACAGACTGTGGCTCAAATGCAAAACTCTATCTAGGGGCTGTTTGTTATTTTAACCATGGATTGCGAACCGGTCAAGTGTCAGAGCATGTGCATCCGGTTGAAAGATAATCGGACATGTCCGAATCACGTTGTTGGCGGTTGGCGGCTAGACTTGTTTTTACTGGGGCATCTGTGTTATTAATATTAATCTTGTCGGCATTATACTTTGTTTTTCCCTGTATTTGACGATGAGGACAATACTCGTAATTGTCACATACATTGATAATCGATGGCATTAGTGTTGCATACTTACTGTATTGATTTACTATGCACTTGCTCTAATTCGAACTTTTTACACTTGGCATCAAGCAAGCCTTTATAGTTTTTTAATAAAGGGAACAAGAATTCATTATGTATGAGACTTTAAAGTCTCCTCCCAAACACCTTTTACTCCTCCTTTTTATTTCAACAAATGTAAATTATAATGAGACATTAATTTATTCTTTTTTACTTGTAGGTCTACCTCCATTTAAATTAATAGGCAAACCGCTCATGCTGTCTTATTATTATCGAGTATCAGGCAAATCAACTCAAATAGTACATACACTGCTCGATAAGCAACCAGACCATTATTCGTATCAATTCTTATTTTAATTCCGGCCCCAATAAATATACGCCACCTGGCCATAACTCTTACTTTTTCTCTTATTATTGCAATCAGCACACCTGTCCCCCTCAGTAACAATCAATACGCTTGGTCCATTAAACTCCTCACTTGCATTCTCACGCGTCAGTGTGGTAAGCAATATAGAGAACTCTTTCTTATATGGGTGGATCATATGGGACGGTAGTTGACGAGTGCCGAATGGGAGATAGTATCTGCTTATCAGCGGGACCGTACCAAGACAGGTACATCTTTGAATTTTGGTGTCAGGCCGGTACTCACAACGTTGTCGCTTGCAGCCATGCATTCGACACAATCTATATTTTTAATATAAAAAACGGATTCATATTTTGCGAGTGAGTTCCTTAACAACCAATGCAATTCTAATTTGACATGTACCTTCGCTCATTCCATTACTATCCTTTATTAAAAAGGAGATTCTAACTCACCTCCAAATAAATACGCATGCGGCTCATTGGCACCCAAGAAAATAGCCTGCCCCGGATTTAGTTTTACATAATTCAATATTAAAACGGCAAACACGCCAATATCACCCGGATATTGAGTGCTTAATCTCACAATCAACTCTTTCGTACAGTCATCAGCTCCCGTCTCTCTCTGCTCTCGCTTCACTCTCCGCGACATCTTCTCCACCGACTCTTTCACTCATCATAATTGTAGCGAACAATTCCTTGAGTCCTGCATGTGCCTTGGCTGTCGCAGTTTTTAAGACCTCTCGGCGAACTCGCACGTTTGCCGGCACGCCTGCAATTATCGCAAGGCTCGCTTCTTCGTGCGGGATAAGGGGAGGTTGAGATGCTTGGAGTGTTCGAGATGTTTGAGGACATGATTGTTCACACACCCGTCCTTTTTATGCCATGCGTCGGTAAGGCGAATGTTTAACAATCCATTGAGAAATAGAAAAATACGCAAGACAGCGAGTGAAAGGAAAGGCCTTTTTTTACAAATTTTAAGTTTGTTGATTCCGTGTGGCTGTAACCGAAAGTTCATAAATGATTGGGCATCAAAAAATTTGGGGCTGGCGTGCAAAAGCCCGGTTCCAGCAGTCTGGATATCTTTCACGTATGCAGGCTTTTGATTGCCGATAACTGAACAAAGAATTCGTCTTTGTATATTGTTCAAAAAATTTGGGTCCAGAATTTTTTAGAAAGCCTGGATATTTTCACGTTAAAGATTTTGATTGTCGATATGTAACTGACCAAAGAATTCGTCTTTTATTGTTCCCGACTAGTATAACGTTACATTTGATTCAGCCTTTCATCAAATATACTGTAGAAAGAATATTCGATTTATGAATAGTGAAGCCTTTTTTAGGATAATTTGATACGGGAGCACAAATTTTAAGTTTGTGCCCCCGTTCCAGGATTTGACCCGTTTCGGGATTGTCACATTAGAATAACCTCTTGCGCCAATAAACTTCATCAAATATGCTGTAGAAAGAATATTTGATTTCCTGTAATAATGAACATGTAAATATAAAGGCATTCAACCGTTTTCTAATTGGTTGTAATTAAGTTTATGATTGCTTTCAATATTAGCACAAGACGTGTGGCATATTGTTTCTATTTTTTAGCTACAGAGTAATTAATTAATAGATCAACTTAGGTTTTAATAATAAATTAGTAATGCTAGAAACATGGGTATATTTCTTGTAGAAGCTGATTCATAAAATTGATTGTATTCATATCCTTGTTCGTAAATCTCCAAAGACGAAATGATGGAGAAGGTATTACTGTATACTTTAAATATTATGACTTATCTGTAACTGTAAAGTTTGTTAGTCGTATGCGGTTGACTTGTAAGTAGGATAGCACTATGCACATGTTATAATATTAAAGTATGTGGTATTAGAATACCGTACGTCTGTGAAGAACGGATAGTTCTCCTTGGCCGCGGATATAATATTGCAATATGTAACAGTGAAAGCTAGTTTCACTCATCCCGCAACAGAAAGTTTGCATCGTAAAAGCCTTTTTGAGCTGTGCGGCTTATCTTCAACTAGTTTAACCGGCGTAAGTGTCGTTCAATGATACGTCACTCAATTCATCCATTCAGGAGCCAGCATCGTTGACTTTGCATAAGATGTTGGTGGTGGTTTACTTACAGAGAAACGGCAACGTACGTCATATGTAGTTTCCGATACAATAGCGGTAATATTTGTAAAATCACGACATTAGGAAATACACAAGTTTATGTGAAGTTGTTTTGTATGAAAATATAGACGTTGATTTGGGTTGAATATATAATGGTTGAGAAAAAAAGTGGGTAACATTAGATGGGTTATAACGTTTGTCGGTCGTCTTTGATATCTCAGTCTGCTGTGATGATACCAATTAGAAACCGGCTCGTGACATATTTCCCCATTACGATTATTGTTAGGTATTTTGAGACGAGGGGAATAATGTATTACAAGCATAATAAGAGATTGGGATGATTGCACTTTTCATATTAATTAATATAAATAGCTTTAATTATTGGCGAAATGTATATATATTTGAACAAAATATTTATGGTGGCGTGAGCTACTGTATATTATTATGATGTCCTAATTTTTCAATTATCATAAACATGATAGATAAAAATTGATATTATTTCTGCGTGTATTTACATGTATGTTACACTCATCAATGATTTGACTAATAGCATTTTGATTATCACCATCGAATACCAGTGTGCAAACCAATTCCTAACATGTTGAGATACGTTTTCTGACAAAGAGGCGTATTGCGATTTCAATAATAAAAAGTTCTCTTATTAGTACGCGTTTTCTTTTTAAGGCGTCGACTGGCAGTTATTTCTCCACATTCATTGTTTTTAGCTGGGCCACTAAAAATATACAGTATGGGAAGAAAAAACTTGCCCTCTATATACACGTAACAAAATCTCGCGTAGCTTGCCAAATTTAACAGATGTCGCGTAAACAAAAAATTTATTATAAATATCACCTCCTAGCACACCGTTTATCATATTTCGCCTTGAATTGTTTTGCTATTAAATTTCTCCATAAATCATTCTTAAAATGCCTTCACAAAGTAAAAAACCTCATGCCGAAGTCATCTTACATTTCTGGAACAAGGGAGTACAATCTCCCAAGAAATTCATAAACTCACAAACATCCCACTCCGAACTGTCAAATATTACATTAAAAAAATAACAGTGTTGTACGTAAGAAAGGAAGTGGCCATCCCAAAAAGATTAGTGGGGTTACATCTGTTGCTATTGGTCAATACGTAAGACGGGACCCCACTACATCATCTTGGAAATTGGAAGTGAAATTAGCAGAAAAAGGGTTTAGTGTGTCCTGTAGAACCATTTCAAAGCATCTGGGTAGCTTGGGTTATAAAAATAATGTGCCATTACCTACTCCTATGCTTACCAAGGCACAAGGAAAAACGGGTAGAATGGGCCTATGCTCATCTCAATGACAACTGGAATACATCCCTTTTTTCTGATGAAATGGCTTTCCAGTTATTCAGGAATACCATTACACAATGGTATAAAGGCTCACAGCCAATTAAACCCATTCCAAAAAACTGTAAAAAGTTTTGCCTGGGTGGGTTTTGTATGCAAGGAAAGACAAGCCTTTTTTGCTTTTGGCAAATAATGACTGGACCATATTATGTCGAAATCCTTTAGCAACACTTACCAGAGATTCAACAGATGCTGGGACATGTCTGGCGCTTTCAGCAAGACAATGATCCTAAGCACACTAGCCGTGTTGCTTCAGAATTTCTTCGAGAAAACATGCCCAAGGTCATTGACTGGCCGTCCAATAGTCCAGACCTCAACTCCATAGAAAACCTATGGAGTATTGTTAAAAGAAATGTAGAGAAGCGGCAACCAAAAAATCTTGATGATTTGCGGCAGTTTATGGTCGAGGAGTGGGATAATATTCCATAAAAAATTTAATAGGATCAATGAGAAGACGTTGTGAAGCAATTATTGAACAAGGTGGTGAACGAATTAATTTTTAATTTCTTTTAATAAAATTGGCAAGTCTCACAGATTTAAATAAGCTATTAATGAAATAATTTGCATTGATGGTTGTTGAGTTATTACAAAATTACAGAGGGCAAGTTTTTTCTTCCCATACTGTATCTTGTTCGGATCTAGAGAGAGCTCGAAATGCTTCACGAAATTTTCTCTTGGAATCTTTTTTGAGCAACCACAATTGCAACCTACATATACAGTCGCCCCCTCTATAGTCATATTGTCAGGAACAATGCAACTTTTGTTGGAAGTGTGCTTATAAAGAGGTTGTGACTATATAGAGGTTTTTTTCTATAAGTTTAATAGTAACATGGTGTGCTTATAAAGAGGTTTTTTATATGATGTGCTTATAGAGTGAGTGACTGTAGAGGGTGACACCTGTACCTCTAAGAAACGTATTGCCTTTTCATATTCAAATATCGCAATAATTTAACGTGTTTAGAATTTTGAAAACCCAGATCTTTTATAACAATTTTATTACGCTGCACACAGTACAAACACAATGACATGTTAATAAAGAGCGCGAATTTCTAATACAAGAAAAAGTCACAAAGATATTACAAAACTAGACTAGTACATGGCAGGTACGATTACGAAGTTACTACAAAGATATTGACTTTTGAATGTTACAACGCGTAAATGTAAAACTAACGTTTCTTTATTTACAATGTAACGTATTAGTATTCCTTTATCTGATGCGTAAGACTTTATTTCGATGACGTGACTACAAAGTAACGTTAGTCTTTTCTTTATTCGATCGTAAGACTTTATTCACAACAACGATAACAGCGAAAGCTTTTGATGTCTTTATGATAATTATGCTGTGTACATAGAAGAAATGTTATAGTGAGATCTGAGAATTGAATAAACATAATTTATTTGTGGAGGAGTGGTACGTGTAGTGGTAGTAGAAAAGGAAAAATATTGTATGATGAAATGTGTCGTAAGAATATTGTGAATTACACATTTATAGTTTATGTCACACAATTAAATCCACGTCAAACAGATACACATGAAACTCGATAGGTCGGTCGTGCATGATGGACCGACTTATCGAGAGGTTTTAAATATTAAAACTGAGAAAGGGCTTGGGAAGTTTTAGCCTTCTTAGGCCAAAATTGAATCATGAGAGATTGACTTATCGAGTTTGCATGTGTACTGAACTTTAAAAAGTTTTAATCTTTTTAAATGAGTCCCGAATGTTTAATCTCCAAATGCAATATACAGTCGAACCTTCATAAAGGAACAATATGTTCTATCATAAAGGTATTCTCTTATCAAGATTATATAACAAACCATTTATAATAATAATTATTATTAAATCAATCAAACAACAAGGTCTGGATTCTGATAGGTCTCTCCATTTGTACATTTCCTAGTTGGACTAATTTCCAAAACGATTATAATAATAAATAAAAATTTGCCAACATGACAGTGTTCTTATACGGAGGTAGATGTAAATACAAAAATTTCTGGTTCCTTAATATAATGATAAAGAGAAATTACTAATAAATCAGAGCTGTCTCATGAAACAATGTTCTATGCAGTTGATTGGTCAGATTTTTATAATACGAGGAACTCCTCTAGTAGCTGTCGACGTTTACTGTCTGGAAACATATTTCAATGTCTCATTTAAACATAACAGCATCACAAGATGTCAAACGGTATCTACCAACTGTTTTTTTAAACTTTCAACCTCAATTTTGTAGATAGAACCACGCAAATAACCAGGCTTAGAAAACTAAACGCTTCGTCGAAGTTTAGGATGACTAATGTGATTGATGATTCGACCCGTCATATCCAAATAGCCTTGATGTTCATAAGTTGGATGAGCCGCGTATCCACCCCGTATAGACCAATCGCATATAGTCGGATGGTATGTGGAGTCTTCAAAATCCTGAACCCGTGCAAATCACTTAGCTGTTTTCCGATTACGCCAGATTTGCTGATCTAGACTTTGTCCAGCTTGACTACGTTCTTCGACCAGACCTCTAAAAAAGTCTTCTTTTTCTTTCGTACACTGACATACTATACAAAGTTAGCAAGGTTTGCCCTTGCTTTAAACATCGGCTCATTTACGAGTTGATTTGTGTGTGAACCAATCAAATTCTTTCCTCTCTGCGTGCATATTTAGCTTTCAAAACCATAAGCTTTTGTATTAAAGGGTATGGAGAAAAACCAAACCATAAGAATGATAGAACAAACGATGCAGAACAAAAGTTACAGTTTTTATTTTTCTAATCAACTAAGAAACCGTCATCCAATAAATGCGGTAGTTTACAAGTAAGCAATTCTCTATTGTTTCACTATGCCCCACCAACCACGTTAGCCTGCCTCATAAAGTCAGCCGCTTCAGATGAGTTCATTGTCAGGAAAAAAAAAGCCGCACATAAAAAAGTGTCTCGAGATGAAAGAGGCAAATTTATTAAAGGAGATGAACTCAATTTTATCGATATAGAAGCAAGCACATTGGAGCTAACGGAGACGGATTAAGTGACAATTCATTAAGCAAAAAGTCTCTTTAGAATTCGTGATATTTTGAAAGATGTGAAGTTGTTATATATGCGTTCTGGGTGATTTGCCACAAATTATATACAACATTTTGAAACATTACATCACTTGTGACGCTTCAATTTCGAATAAAATAAAACTCGACGTTATTGTTGCAGATTGAACAGCACATACTTAGCTATATAAGTGCGCTTACGTTTTTTTGAAACTCTGGTTTAAGAAAGTTGATCGAATTAATTTCCTTCCATACATCTTTGGGGATTCTTCTGTGCGATTTATATTTTTAGCAGCACATTCTACCATTTATCTGACCTGTAATTTCATGTTTATATACAAACATATCTGCGCAAATATACGAATGGTTACAAATTAACAGAATCGAGAGCACGAGGAACTGTTTTTGTAATCCACTCCAAGTGTAATACAGCATCACTTCCCCAATCACATTTTTCCAAAGTTTTTCGTTTAGTCTTATTATTCGACAAATGAGTAAGAGTTATATTTAATTGCATTATTTTTAGATCAACATTAAAAGATTGTATTTCGGGAATCGCATATCCTGATGAGAAATATGTTAAGCTCAATGAACGACAACTATAAAACCGCCTGCGTCTCGAGACGGTTTTTTTTTCTCATCAATTTCACAACGAAGTCAACTGGCAAGCTTACAAAGGCATCCAAAAAAAAACAAAAATGAAATCAGTCTATTTGCTCTTCCTCTTGGTTACCCTTCTCGCCGTAATTTCTACGCCAGCCAATGCCTCCCCTCTTGAAAAAAAAAGGAATGCACCCTGCTGTCCTGTTGTTGTATGTGAGTTTAAAAAAAATGACAACCCCAATATATCGCCCCCAGTCACCAACCCCAATTATTACGGCAACACTTTCGACGGTTTTCTCGCATTCTTGGGGACACCTAAAAACACTTTGCAAGTCGGTGGCTGGATTGATATTCGCGGCGTAACCAACAAAATATTTAAAACTGATTCAGGCTATGATATTCACGTGGCACCATGCGGAACAGCCAATACCCCACCTGAACCCCACCTTACCCCCGGCGACCCTGCCACCATCGACTTTGACAAACAGATGTTCGGCCATTCAATTCTCCTAACTATCGATGGATCAATCGCCCAAATTAAAGGCCAATGTTGCTTTGTCGTGGAAGAGTATGCCTCACGTGGTCCACTTAGTGGTAGTAAATCAATCCCTAGAAATGAAAGAATTTTAGGAATTGCACCATTAGTAGACATCGTAACCTGCTGAGGGACATATTACCAGTCGTTTTAGCGATTTGTTTGTTTTTGTAAAAATAGTAAAAGCGCTTTATTCAATATCTTATGTTTACGGTTGGGATGCTTTTGTCAGATTTTAAAAGCGTTTTATTCAATACTTAAATATTATTCAATTTTAAATGGGGAATATCTTATGTTTACGGTTAGTATTAGGATGCTTTTGTCAGATTTATTATTCTATTTAATGAAATAAACAAACTGCTAATATATTACAAAGTTTTTTTTTTACGTCGAAAAATGGAGATAATTGTATTGTTGTGCATTGTCTTGGACATTGACTGGTCAATCACGTTCTTTCTCTTTATCCATTGCATCTTTATATTTAACTCAGTGACTAAATTGTCTATTACTATAATATATTACAAATCAATTGTAAATCTTCTAAGTAACTACTATTGCCTAACGTCATAATTTATCTTCCCGCTCGTTTTATTTCTATCTACCAATACCAAGCCGCGTTTGTAATATTGGATACTGCAGTGAAATCATTAGTACATAGTATAATCACCATTGGTCTTTATCAATGCCTCTACACGGCTTTTCATGCTATTGACTAATTCTACAGCAAGCTCACTGGGAAGTTGATTCCATTCTTTTGTTAATTCTGCCTTTAATCCCCTAGTAGTACCAATCTTTTTTTTTTTTTTTTTTTTTTTTTTTTTTTTTTTTTTTTTTTTTTTTTTTTTTTTTTTTTTTTTTTTTTTTTTTTTGATATCCTAATTTTCATTATTCTCCAAACATTCTCAATGGGATTTTGATCGGGTGACATTGCTGGCCAAGGTAGAACTGTAATGCCTTTTTCTATCTTCCAATTAGTTGCTAATCTTGACCGATGTTTTGGATCATTATCTTCCTGCAAAATCCAGTCTAAGTTACCATCTCCAAAAAAAACTATTAGCAGAAGCTAGAAGACCTTTTTCATAAATATTACACATAAATTCTGCATTGAGATTTCGCTGGAAACAGATTAGCCTACCAAAACCTGAGGCAGAAAAACAACCCCATACATGAATCTTTAGAAGATGCTTTACAGTACGAATTATTTTTCTTTTCCCAGAAAATTGCCATGCTTTCCCAATTGATTGATTCAACTGAAATGTACTCTCATCTGTAAAAATTACTTTATTCCAGTCGAAATTCCTATGTGCCTTTGCCCACTGTAGCCGATTTTTCCAATGCTTTCTGTAAGCAAAGGCTTAGGAATTTTGTTCATGTACTTATGGAGACGTCGTCTAATAGTCCAAACACTAACGTTCACACCCTTTTTTTTTTTCATTTCTTGTCCTGCTTAGCGGTTGTGCTGCGCCACCGGCCGGATTTTAGTTTATCAGTTAGATCCTTCGATTTCCTCCATTTATAAAACGTAACATATGAAGAGATGACGCGAATGGCCCATAATATCTGATCTGTATGTTCTTCCGAGCCAAGGGAACGTATATTCTCACTACCACAAGCGAGAATTTCTACAGCAATCTGTGTTTCTCCAAATCCAGTGCTTCTCCCGACATTTTTTAGGTGTTTGTCCTGTTAAAAAAGTTGTTTGAGACGAAAATAATAATTTCTCAAACGATCAACAACATACAGACCTCTACCACAATAACAGCCATTTTTTGCTTCCCTACTACAAATTCGGGCTCTGATGACACGCAAGGATCATCTTCAATGTATAGTTTACATAGCGGGTGATTTCTGGATTTTAAAAAATGCAACTTAGAAACTACTATATTTACCAGAAACAAAAGTTACTCACCTGATCATCAAGGGAAAGTGATTCAGTTTAACGATACGGAGTAGATCATCCACAAGTGTGTCAGTAAAAGTCTTGGCTGTGCCTGTCACCTGAAAACCATTGAATACGACGTTATGCAATTTGGTAACGAACGTTTGAACTTGAGGATCCGAGATGTGTTGAAATTCGCCGACATCAAACAACGCATTTGAAAGGATTTTACGATTAATATGAGGGAGAATATAATTGTTCGCAAAGTTGGTGACTGAACAATATTTTAAATTGTAAGTATTAGGTTCGCTGAGAGGATTGCTGATACAATTTAGGTCTCACCTTCAACATCGGGTATAACAGCGTTCTCGCTTGAGGCTGGTTTGAAGCCCACTCTCAGTAGGTCAATATCTCGTAGTTTAAACTTGGATGCGTCGGGAGGGAGGTTGTAGGAGGTTGTAGGCTCAGCTTTTTTGTTTCTTTGCAAAGTTAGGGAAAAGAATCTTGGTCGGAGAGTACGCACGGCAGGGCGAGAAAACCTCGCAACGAGACTGAGCAAAGACATTTTATAAACAAAAAATTGATGATGCCTTTATTGAAACGAGAAAAATACACGTAACTATCGCGAGGAACTTTTATTCACAACAAGGTGCTCGCTAAAGCCCAGTTTAAGCTGTTAAAAATACACATAACAAAGTTATGGCAAAAAAAAGGCGGTAAGGGGCTATATATGTGTCGTGCATAAATCCCGTCATCGTATAAATCCCGTCAAAGTTGAGAAGGGTCCCTAAACATTTTCTTATTATTATCTCAATCAGCGGATAAACGCTATGAGTTATGTAATAAGACTA